AATAATTAAAGACGGTTGTTCGACTTTCGGAAGCAGTTCTTCAAAAATGCGACCCTGTTTTGAAGTGGAAATTACTGTAGGAAAATGGGTGAGTTTTGCCATTTTTTGTATACGAGTGGAAGCAGGTAAAATACTGAGGCGCCTTCTCTCTTGCTTTTATGACCCACTATGCCATCGCAAATCGTACATACTACAGAATACTGGAATTTCTATGAATGAATCATTCTTAAAAGCGCTATCTAAGGTTACAATAATGTATGCTACAAATAATGATGCAACAATAATATAATAATAAATATATGATGTATGCAATGTTTTTGTTGTACCTCCTCGCTCCTCCTGACAGTTCGTTATTTTCGGCTATCGCCACCTCCAAAATTTAAGTTAATCTCTTTTAAAAAAACAGCTTCGTATTCGTTTTTCAATTATTCGACCATGAAAAAAAAAAGTTCATCAAACTGGAAACAATATTTAAAATGTCTCCAAAAATTTAAACCCTGACAAACCTTTGAGGCTGGTTTAAACAAATAATCTCGGATAAAGTTAGCGTGAAATGAAGATTTGAAAGTAACGAGTGCCATTTTAACGAGATTCCCCTCAGCAAAACATACAAACACACTAACCAATACAATACGTACCCGCCGTTGACCAATGAAAAATGCCCGGTGAAAAACATGTCGTGGAAGATGGAGCAAGTGTAACCACTACGAGACGCGCGTCAAAACTGTCAAAACTAAACCCTCGGGCCGCGACGTTTATATATACGAACACTATTTTGGTAAACACGTCTCTCCAGATAACAATACCTATTGTTTTCGAACCCAAACGAAGTAGAGTTCAGAGCGTGTCGAAATCCTTTAACGGTGTGACGACAGCGACGGGAAAAAACAAACGAACGGCGTCCCAGGCGTCCGATTGGTGGAGAGCCAAAGGCTCGACCACGTGGCGACTTCCCCCCTCACGCACCCACGTCCCTGGCCCGATGACGAGCACTTTGAAGCAATACGCGAAGGTGATTTCGTCAGAAGTGCGTATCCGAGAACGATGCGAGAACGCTAGACGGAGTCGATGGTATTCTTTGACCTCAAAAAAGGCGCGTGGGCCACCACAAACCGTGAAGATAGCCAGAGGTCTTGAAAAAACGCGTGACCTTTTACTGGTTGATACACAAAGCCGCGGTCAGTAGTGTGCGATTCGAAGCACATGTTGCGTTATACATTTTTATGCATTACGTGTAATATCTGCATACCAGTAGATAAAAATTTTAGTTAGTTTAGTTTAGTTAGTCTGTATAAGCAAACCCAACAACCTATGAAGTCACCAACCAAATACATTCTATATAGTTATGAAGTTGCCACATTTGCATTATCATGTGTCAAAGAAAAAGCAACTGGACTTTAGTCAAAGGTTAGGTTTTTCAAGAAGCGCACTACGTCAAACAATATTCTTTTAGACATGTAAAAAAGGAAACATCTGTTTGGCACTAGTCCAAGGATAGACGGACTGCGAAGTAAAGGAAGATGGACAAATGTCCCAAACTACAATGCAAAAAAAGTATCGTATAGGGATTTTAATAAGAGGTGTTATTTTGAAAAGAACGCTATGAAACGATACGCGCTTCACAAAGCAAGTCATTTTATTTATTTTAAGAATTTCATAAAGAACAAAATTGAACGTCGAAAAAATATTTTTTTATATTTAATCTTGAAGCTAGGGATCAACAGATATTATTTCAACGATATTATATTTTACTAATAACAGAGGTAGCCATGGCGAGAATAACGATGTCAAAGTTTGTTTCAATTATTTGGCATTACTGTCACTAGTTCAAAAAGTTTGGAGTTTTGTTATTACGAATACAAAGTGAGTTTAAAAAGTAATGTTAATTATTAAAAAAATAATATCCGTGTAAAAGGCATGGCGGAAAGATTAAATGTTTTCATAATAAGAAAAAAATTTTTTTCATAACCTTGTATTTGAAAAGGTTCACGATTTATACAGTTTTATTTTAAAAACAATTTTTCGTATTCACGATCTTTTTATCGATTAACTTATCCCAAATTTAGGTGCCAAGAGAATAAATATATGTTTTATAGGAACCACGTCAATAGAAAAGTCTATCTCGTTTGTTGTGAAGGCAATTCTTCAAAGGAAAAAACTACAACATTTTCCTTAAGGCTAAGAAGACATGTTATCCAAATGAAAATAAAATTATGATAAAGTATGTATCTGCTGAGGCTCCTGTAAACCATACCTCGCAAAGAATAGTGAAAACACAGAAGGACGTTATATCAAAGTTCACTACGAAATTTACGTAATGACGAAAATCATTACAAAACAGATTTTTTTAAATTTTCTATATGCACTTCAAATGATAGCAGATAATAGCAGCATTGTTTGAAAAAATCTTCTTCAACAACGAACCAACGATTATCGAGCAACAGAGTATTCGAATTGAAGATACTTTCAATTTGGCGATGATAGATGGTAAAATGTTTAGTGTAATTAGTAATTCATCAACCGAAACATCAAAAGTTATGAACGACCCTGAATAAAGTCATGAACCTTCCTGCTAATGGAAACCTATGTGATTATGAAATATCCACATTACATGCGTGGATAAGAAGTCTAGAATGTTGTCTGCACATTTCTTATAGAATTTTGTCTGATGTTTGATGTACAAAAATAGCAATCATTGATGAAAAGCTCATAAAAATTTAGGATCGCACATCAATAACTAGAGTACTCCACACATTTGTATATTATTTGTCTTGTCTTGTTTGTTTTCTATTTAATAAAAAAAAATCATTTTTAGTTCTAGACAATGATTTTCTTAAACGCCTCTGTGATTTTAACGACCATGTGCTTGAGTTTTGAAATAAATGTGGACAGCCTCCATAAATTACTTTTACATGGTCCTCAAATAATACAGATTCGAATGTTTTCAGAGGAAGCGCTAGAGTCCGCAATAAAGACTTCAGAAAAATATAGGGAGTATTTCTCACGGAGCAGAATCAATGAAAGATATACTTATATTTCATCTTTGTCTAAATTTGTGGGACCACGGTCAAATAAGGAACCACTATCAAAGAGGCTCTTAATTTATTTCGAGAGCCTACTTTACAGGCATCTCAGCTAAGATAAAATGATGAAAATATTATTCAGAATGGGGCCTCTAGTTCCAATTTACCCACAATCCGTGCGTTGTTAGCTGGGCAACCATCTTGCTGATTATATTTACTCCTTCCAAGAATTAATGCCAAGTCTGTCAGATTTTCATTAAAAAAAGGTCCCCCAAATCTACCTCGGAAAATTAGATGGAATCCAAAGCGACTTTGAATATTTTGATACACTACAACAGGGGTCTCCAAACTTTTCAGCCTTAGGGCCATATTGATCACGCCAAGAAATTCTAAGGGCTAAACCAATATTATCATTAATTGTCGCAGGTGATAAAAAGTTGAATCAGTCCGCTGATGATGTAAAAGGAAGTTAATTTTTTGTCAGATGCCTCTAGCGATGGGGAAGTCTGATATATTATCTGTATCGTATGGGTTACCGTTATAATGGGGTACCCATATCGTATCGGCATAGTAATCATTGATTCCAAAAATAATAAAATACACAAGTAATCACTGATTAATTTATTCTCAATCACAATTACATAAATCTCATTAGAATTTCATATGTCATTATGCTTGTTATAAGTTATTTTTTTATTTAAAATGTATAAAATGTTGGTTGAATTCATTTCAATAATTTGTTGGTTAGTATATAATAACCTACAACAATGTTATGAGTAGTTAGCCCATGACCATATCAATGTAGATGTCATATTAATTAATATTCAACGTAAAAATAGATTACTTCAGTAAACTAAATTTATTTGCTATAAACATCTAATCTCTAGTAGATTTTTCTTTCAAGTATACAAGCTCTCCGCGGGCCGGATGTGGCCCGCGGGCCGTAGTTTGGAGACCCCTGCACTACAACATGAGGATTTTCTGTACTCCATGGATAAGTCAATTTTCGCTTCATCACTCCAAACAATAGACAATGGAAAATTAACGTTCTCATTGTATTTTCCGATATACACCAGTTGCAAAATTGTATTCCTCTACCGACATCAACTTCATGTAATTGGTGGACTTTTCTGGTACGATATGGCTTGAATTTATGTTTTTTAAAGTATTGAAAACTTTAGTTTTTCCATCATTTGTTGCGTGACTTAGTGCCCGCGAGGATATGCTTGGATTTTCCAATACTTCTCTAATTATATCCATTTCCCGGATTTCCTTAAATGACTTTAATTTTCTCTTGGATTTATGAAACTTCTGTAATTGGTTAAATTCTTTTTTAACGTCCGAAATATTTTCTTGTCTGGTTGGTGCTGCTCTGGATATGTCGAAATTCACTGGCTGCCTCTGAGTTTTCGTTTAACAAAATGTAACCCCTTTTCATAATTTTGCTACATTTTATATTTGCTTTTCAGAAGAGCCGAAAATTGAAATACGCCTTATAACTCCATTGGTAGTGAAGATATCGCTATTAAATGTTTCTCAAAAATCGAGCCCTTGATAAGTCGATTTTGCTTTAACCAGAAATAGGTTTTTCCTGTTAAAACACTCCACCACGACCACCCTGTACATAGTCGCCTTACATATCGTAGAGACCCTGGGGTTTTTGGACGAGAAGTTTCAATAAGAGAATACCACACCACATATATCTGCAGTTACTAGAAACTTCCTTCGACAACTCTTTTTCGCAAGGTCAACCAGACTTATCGCCTATTGACTATGTATGGGATACGATAGGTCGAAGGCCAAATCGGTTGCCACATCTTATACTGGATGTGCAACGTCTCGGTGGGTAAAATTATCCTGAACCATGAACCATTGCAGAATGTCAAAACTTACATCGCTATTGAATTTTTAATAAATTTGTTTGACGTCACCGACGTCCCAGAATAATAATAAAATATATCTGTGTTGCAACGTTACCTGCCTATTTTGGCCGACGGTATGCATTTGTCATTGAATAATTCCCCTAGAGATTGTAAAAATTATAATGAAGGTGAGTCAACACTAGATTGGGAATATCTACGTCTCACATCGGTGCAGGAATTTTCCACTTATTGGCCTTCATTTCAATTTTTCCAAACGTTTCAGATAATTCCAACAACTAATACCATCGAAATAAACTAACCTAAAATAAAAAATAAAAAGGAATTCCAGTTATTTGCGCCGTTGAGTGTAAGTCAAACATTTATTTTTGATTCTGTGAAACCAAGTGTCTGTAGTCAGTTAGTATTGATCACTTTCCTTTGGGTTTTGTTGATTTGTTGTGCTCAAATCGGTGACGTAAAATGAATCTGAGAAGCCGCAGGTGTGTGTGAGTTATGGCGCATACGGATATCAAAGACAAACGTGCTAAGCAGGAACGAACATTCACCTAATGAAGGTTGGAAAGGACTGAGATAGCGATTGGTATATTCTGCGCCATTAAGATCTGTGCAAAGATGCTTAGACAGCACCAAGAGTGATCAGCGTGGACTGAAGAAATTCAAGTCATTTCAATACTGCTCCAAAACTACAAGCGATCAAGAATAATATATAAGGCCGATATAGATAGAGAAGAGGGAACTTTTGACTGAATCTAATGTTTCAAATTCTGGGAGCAACGAGATGCAGATGGAAGCAGGAAAGTGGTAATGAAGAAATGTGCAAACTTGTTCATTGTACAGCAGCAAATATATACAACATTTTGACCTAATGGTGACCAGAGATTACAGCAAACGTTACGATTAGATTTTTTTTTACCGATACAATGTTTACGTCTTAATGTTTATTTTGGTTAAAAAGATAAACCGAGAGACCATTGTAATACGTTCGGATTTTGATCGCGTTATCGAACAGGTTTTCAAAATTAAAGGGCAAAGCACGAGCGGACATTTCCATACGGGAAAACACCGCTTAACCGCGAGATAACTGCGCAACGATCAACAACACACGGCAAAAACGACACCAAAAAAAACTTTTGCATAAATTCAATTTAGAAATTCGCATTTTACCGAATTCCTGAACCCGTCCTTGGTATCACGCGCTCGCATCATCCGTGGCAGGCCTGGCAACAAGCCCGCAGAAAAAATATATTGAACAGAGACGCGCGGATCACATGACTTCCTGGTGTTATCTCCGTCCTTTAATAATAATATAACGCCACTCGTTTTCGAATGTATCCCGAAAATGAGACGTCACTTGACTGCATCACTTTCTGCGTCTGTCGATTATTTATTGGGCCGGAGAGCGATATAAATACATCAGAATTCTAATACCCAGGTCGGACAACATGTCCATCATGATAATAAAAAAATATCGACAAATACAGCGTGTTTTCGGAAGTTTTTACCGATTGAGCAAAGTAAGCAAAGCAAAGGTGTAAAATTACTAAAAATATCCATAACCAACAGTCATAAAAACGTCATAAAGGGTTTACAAAAAAGTGACCAAGAAATAATAGTGGGACTTACTTTCAAGTTGTCAAAATGTTCGCCAGGGAGGGTAAGCGTCATTACTTAAGCAAAAAGTTTTTTGCCACATTTTTCAGGAGCTGAAGACAGCCAACAGGCACGTCATTTTAAAACAGAGGCCTTTGTGAAAACCTTTTTGCTCTTTAAGTACGAACAATTATGTAAATAATTATCAGCAACTTCAAAATGCCTAACGGATCTCTATCAACGTTTTTGTAAACGTGGCGATATAATTATTGCTTATAATTGCCACTAGAGGGCGCTTTTCGACATAGCTACTAATATGTGTTATTCCATATTTTCAAAAAATATGCAACGACTTGACTATTTTTTATAACAACAGTCAGCCATACCTTAACACGCCATTGAAAACCACATCTCAATATCCCTTTCCTAACTGAAAATATGAGAACAATTGAAAACTCGAAAAATCCATACTTTGGGAGACATTTTCCGTATATCCGTTAGTTTTTTATTTATAATTGTATTTATTTTAGGTAATAATCTAACTTTACAAAAAGGCCAAATCGGCTACGTGTGGACTAAAACCGCTTTTCCATAGATTAATTTCTTTTTTTTTCGAGTTATTTGGAAATAGGTATTTCTGGATATTCTGGATATTCAGGCGCGAGTAATTTCACGGTTTGTATATTTTTAGCAGGTGTTTACGATAACAAAATTATTATCAAACGTATCGGTGATAATTATTTTACATTTGTATCGTGACGTGTGAATGGTTATTCCCACAGGTGCCAACAAACAACTAAAATTCGCAGAAAACATTAAAAATTTACAATTTGCGATTACGTCATAAAAAAGCGAGCGCAAATAATAAACAATCAGCCACAATTAAGTGCTCGTTTCCGCACCTAACTGAATAAAACTGTAACAATGTTGCTGGCAAGGTTCAATACACCCATATGTTAGACACGTGGTGAAAAATGTCCTCGTAATATTGGCCAGCCAATCGAAACGACCGGCCAAATTGCAAAGCCTACTTAACTCGAATTACAGTTTAGCCTATAGCAAAAACTACTTGCCTTTGTTGTTCGAACAGAATCAAATACTTTTAGAAACACTTTTAAAATTCATCCCGACTCAATAACGATCTAAAACAGAGGCACTGTGTTGAGTAAAACGTTTCGATCTAAGCTCAACTGTTTCACCTGGCCATTGAGTATGACGTCGAATATTTCTTGGCACGCTTAACTTTCTCGAGAATTACAATGGACAAACTGCGGGCAGACATAAAAAAAGAATTTTTTTTATTGTTTTCCACGCAATCACTATAAAGAAGTCAAATATTGCGAGAGAATGGGGCTGTGGTTTCTTGATTGAGTATTACAAACCAAGATAACGCAAGAGGAAAGGAAAAAGTTTAGAGAATGTTACATGTTAGTTTGTTAAGTGACACTTTGAAAATACGAAAATATCTATCCAATTATAGTGAATTACCAGGTTTTTTTTAAATATCTAACCACGATTTTCAAAATAAAAATGTCGCAAAACAGTTTCATCAGAACAAATAACGCAGTAAACACATTAAAAAAAACAAAAAAATGTATGCTATCGAAGATGGCAAAATTTATGCAATATTTTGCTTGGGCGGTTGAACACCAAAATAAATTTCGAAAACCGTTGCTAAACAAGATGATGAAAAATACTCGACACAAGTCAACAAGCTTTGTTGAAATGTAGCTTCTCGCACAAATAAAATAGTTTGCAGGCACAAACGGAACATTCTACTCACTTGTCTGTCATTTTGCTCTTCATCCACTTCGGAAACGACATACCGGCTGCCAATGAACGGTCATCTTGAGTCGCCATCGTCAAGGATAAGAATAATTTCGAACGTATTTACTAAATCGAGGGATGTACAAATAAAAACCAATTTTGGTATTAAGTACAGTAAAATTTAGTATTGTTGCGGAGTTTTGGGGCAGTGTCGTCCGTTCAGGAGTAGGCTTTGGCCATTTTACTCATCTGAAATGGGATTTCATCATCAAAAGCAGTAAAAATTGAATTATTTTCAGTATATTATTGTCATCCCCGCCACATTGCGTCAAAATCAGCTGATACTAGAAACCATACAAACAACAGAATAACTCGAAGAGGTGAAAGCCTTTAGATTAGATTAGAGACTTTTTAATACATACTACTTACACACCGCATATTATGACACAGGTAATAAGAAAGCCATTTTGATTTGTAAGAAACCCAGTACATTGATTTCCACACACAAACTAGTATAGTTATGGATATTTCATACAACTATGCCTACCTTTGCGATTTTACAAAACGAGTTTTTTTTAAGCAAAATAACAGAAGCCATCTTACACCAACAACTTTTTAACAAAGAATGACATCTGAACAGAATATTTTGGGGAGAGAAGGGGAAATGGTAACACAGAATAATTATCATGTTCGTATGGAAATCTGCGGCGAAATGAACTTCTTCTCAACATCATGCGCACTATTGCCAGTGAACAGAGAATAGGTCTTATGATGATGATGATGATTATGACCAATAATGCCTGAACAGACATTTTTATTTTTATTTCAATCCCGATCCACACGATGCCATTTCTAAATTCATTTTCAACAACAAAAAATTTTGATGGAAGACACGATTAATCTTTGTTTTTAAAGTAGTTTAATAAATTTAATAAATACCACATAGTGTTTGTTAGTTCAATTTTTCAGAAAAATATTTCATTGGCTTGTTTTTAATTTTGTGATTTCGAGTATATTTACCTTTTTTGTATGTATTTTGTAGTATCTGAATTTATACTTCTTCTTAAGTGAAAAAGTCCATTTGCTCAGCTTTTCAAAAGAAGAAGAGAAATTGACGTTTCTCTTTCGTTTATATGTCAATTTGTGGGTACGTTTTCCAATTTTATTTCCGAAAATTTTTAGAACATCCCTCAATTTTTTCAAAAAATTGCGTCACAAATTCAGCGATATTATTTCGATATTTATTTCCTCGTTAATATCTTTTACTTAAGTTGAAAGCGACGACCGGATAGCGTCGAAAACTGGTTTTTCGGAGGTTAGAGTTATAAAGTTGTTTTGCTCCAGGTTTCCAAAATGGGAGCTTACAAATACATCCAAGAACTGTACAGGAAGAAACAGAGCGACGTTCTCCGATTTCTGTTGAGAGTTAGGGTATGGCAATATCGTCAGCTAACAAAGCTTCACCGAGCTCCGAGGCCCAGTCGGCCAGACAAGGCCCGTAGGCTGGGATACAGAGCGAAGCAAGGATTTGTTATTTTCCGCATTCGCGTACGTCGTGGCGGTCGCAAGCGTCCCGTACCTAAAGGCGCCACTTATGGCAAACCCAAAAGCCATGGTGTTAACGAGTTGAAACCTGTGCGTAACTTGCAGGCGATTGCTGAGGTAAATCTCACAGCATGACGTTTTATGTAAAGTACTAGCCACTATCTGGATTTTAGGAACGTGTCGGCAGAAGATGTGGTGGCCTAAGGGTTTTAAATTCCTATTGGGTTGCCCAGGACTCTTCATATAAATATTATGAAGTGATTTTGGTTGATCCCTCTCATAATGTAAGTGCGAACATAAACATTGGAGTGCCTTGGGTTTTTGAAAAAAAAATATTTTAGGCAATAAGACGTGACCCCAAAGTTAACTGGATAGTGAATGCCGTCCACAAGCATCGCGAGCTCCGTGGCAAAACATCAGCAGGTCGGTCGTCCCGGGGTTTGGGCAAAGGTCACAGGTATTCTCAGACCAAGGGCGGTTCACGCAAAGCAGCCTGGCTCAGAAGGAATTCCCTGCAGCTGCGTAGGAAGCGTTAACTTATGTTTTATATTGTTCGACTATAAGGAAATAAAAGCCACAAATCTGCTTTTTTTTTTTTTAATACACTACTCAAAAACTAATATAAAAAAAAATTGGAAAATATCATGAGGTGGGTTTGTAAAATTTCCTACACCTTTCGTTGAATACCTTAAGCGAACGCTGTCTGATTAGGTCTTCAACGCTCAGTTCCACTTGCAACATCCTTAGCTAAAATTAAAAATTAGGTGATGTCTGATTAGAGTGACTAACAACCTTTGTCTGTTCGGATCGCAATTGTTTGGACAGTTGAACATCTTCCGCTGCAGTTTCTCGCTCTTCTTTCAGTCTTTTGACATTGTGGGAGGTATAAGTGATACAGTTTTTGATTAAACTCTCACGTTTGCGATGACCGTCTTCCAGCTGTTCGTGGATGTTCTTGCAAGCGGCCGCTTCATCGGCGTGGAAGGAATGAGTGGGCACCACGGCGTTTATAGTGTTCACTATGAGATCGTCAGTTCTTCGCATATTTTTAAGAGCGTCCTGTGAGTTAGGAGACTCTTAAACGCATCGAAATCGAAATCATTCAACAATCATACCTCAAACTCACTGAAATCGGCGCACTCCATTATGACGCCCGGCATGATTCGGTCTTCTTGGGATATAACTAATATTTTTTCATTTTTCCAAATATCAAGTTCGCATAACCTCAAACCGCGACTCGGAGCGATATATTCCAGTTTTCTTCTTCCTTGGTTCGATAACATGTGTCACAAAATCACTAGAAAGCCATAGATAAAAGCTTGTCCAAGGGTAACAAATTGCTTTTACTATGCTTTTAAAGTGATTGAAGTGTGAACTAAACTTTACCGCCAAAATATAAATTCGCAGGAATTCTCCGCTGTTATTTATTTAAAGATGCGAAAACTGAGCCCATACTTATGAAAAGGTAATTGGTTTATAAATTAATTATTCAAATTCCTATAATATAGTTTTCATAAAAAAACATATTCCCAATGTTCCTAAAACTATTCTGATTAGTCACAATACAATTTTAATAAAACAATTTAAAATATAATATAATAATTAATATTAACTTTCAGGAAACATAGAAATGACATTGAATTTGAACCAAAAAATTGACTGTTACATTAAGGATTTTAGGAATCTCAAACCGCACGAAACTAAAGTTTGGAAAAAAACATTGTCCCTCTTAATCCTACACTTAAAAATAACTATATAGCATTTAATAAACATGATTTTATTTTCTATTTCGCGTCTAGAATGCCTATAAATAAAATATATGATATTGTTGTTTTTGTCGAAATTGTGATTTACAAATAAGTTTTTATTCACTGCTAGGTAAATTCAAAGAAGATACTAAATGAATTTTTGAGTTAACACTATTAAAAACGGCTACATATAGGTGAGCTTTTGCATTTTAATCAAATCGAGACTCTCTTAATCAGTGACTTCTTACTGTTTTCATCATGAACGCAAAATTCTGCAATATGATAACTCATAAATATTTCGTTGTGTAACATGCCAAACATAGAATATCCAAACCCAATTTCCAGGAAGTGCCGGTCCATGTATACCCTTTTTTCATTTTTTAAGGAAAATAGAACGACTTTTGCCACAGTGTTGGTTCTTATCACCATCAATTTTGCTTGATATATGTACTGCTAAATTTCAAAAATTTCTTTAGATTGCCTTTGTGAACTGATATAGTTTGATATACGCCATTTCGAAAAAAAAGGACAAAATTGATATTAGCACTTATCCTTAACCGTGGAATCAATATGTCAGAAAAACAGAGCAATGCATGAACCAATGCTAAAGAAATTTGACTTTGATCTGTTATTATTTATTATTTGCGACATCCAGTAATGAACTAGACAAAGATGTCCGGTGTTAACTGTCATAGTAATGAACTAGATAAAGATGTCCGGTTTTAACTGTCATCTGTTGCAACGCTAGTGACAAGCGGTTCCACAATAAATTTACGATGAACATGTATTTCTTTTATTTATGTATGATTATATTGATCTTCTTCCATTTTGTCTTCAAAACCAATGTCACAAAACACACTAGCAAATTCGTCACGTCAAAATAAACGAAGAAATTTGGAAATGACGTCATGGTTTGCTTCGCTGCATCAATTTTTTAATAGTTTATTTAAAACGCATTGTTTACAATAGAAGCATAGTTACCTAGATTATTTGTATCAATTTATTTAGGTGAATATTATTTAAACAGTATTGAGTAGCGTTTAAAGTTTAAATGTCGTAAGTAGTCTAGTTTCGGACACATCTCTCCCGTTTCGTAGTTCTGTCAAGTTCACATTTCTCAAACGAGTTGCACTTCACGTTGCCGCAGTAACTGCCGGTGCCAGATTCTGAAAAAAATGTATGCGTGTCTAAACTTCGATTCCCATTTTCCTTACTTTGATTTTGATTCTTATATCCGTCTTTGGTGTTTGCGCCTTTCAAGTGGTCCGGTACGCAGGATTTGGTATTGCAAATGTTTGCGCAACATTTTTTTCCGAAACATTCGGAATCGTCCTTGCATTTGGGACTGCACGATGTCATTGCGCTTGACAGAGGGCATCCATCTTAAACAGTCAATATCAACTTACTCGAATTTTGAAAAAAATAAGATAATTTAAAAATAAATATATTAATTTATTATTCTACTTACAATCAATTGCAACAATATGTTGTAACATAGCAAGGATAGCAATAGTTGCATATGTAAAACGAATTAAATCTCCTAAAATAAGAAACTCCAAAACCAAAACTTAAAACCCAGAAAATTGTTGCACTTACCCATCTTGGCGATTTGGCAATCCGATTATTAATGAAGATAATTGAACAAGCGCGTGATTTTACTAAGTATCGCGTTATACTTAAATAAAATTCTGCAAAACAGGTTTGAATGAGCTCAATTTACGGATTCGCCTCGCGGCTACGAAGAGCAAGAAAAACTAAAGTAGTTAAATTGTTTAGTGTCTCTGTTCCGGTGCATAATTTTACCATTTAAACATGTAGACGGACTCTTAAATTGCCTAATAAGTGAAATCGCGATGAGTATTCCGCAATAAAAAAATTCCAATTGCCATTCTTTTTGCAATTATAATTTATTTAATATATGGGTTTAAACTAATTGGTGGGTTTTCTTGGCAAGCTGGGATTTATTTCTCTCAGCTTGTAAGAAATTCTTCTCAATCTGTTATAGAACACCATCTTCTTCTTCTTTACTTCTATTGGACCATATTGCTGAGATCATTCGACCATGTATACCCTTCAAATGAACATTAATCTTCTTTCTCACAGCTTGGCAAGTGGAACAACTTAAAGTTTTGTCCGAATGATCCTGGGAGTTTTGTATGACGCCAGTAACAAAAAAACAATTCTCCTATAATTTAATTTTTAAATAATGTTAAGTTCAAAATTGTTAAAAGCGGCGACCCCTTTTTCCTTTGTTCAGAGAAATGTTCACAGGCGAAAGTTTATATGGTACAATGAAGGCATTCAGTATCCTGGATTCAAGTACTATCCTAGGTAAGTCTTGGTATATTTTATACTACTTGTAATGCAACTTCGTGCCTCTTTAGACGTCCTGATTTTCAAGATCCACCTTACGAACCGACCAAGCTCTTTAGGGTACAGAGGATCAGACCAATGAAGGGCGCGCCTTACTGGGAAAAAAATATTCTCAAAGAATTTAAGCTGGATGGAAAGGTACAATTCACAAGTTGTCCAAGTTTTGGTGCGAAATTTAATGTTTCAGACCAGCGATTATGTAGTAGTAAAAAATATACCTGAAAATAATCACCGGCTATGGAAAGTGAAGCATATGATCAAGATCGACCCAATAACTTTTCCAGATGGGTTTCCGAATGAGAACGACTCCACTTACTTGCAGGAGAATGGAGAACTGAGGATTGTAAGACATATTGGTCATATAGAGGAACGATCTAAACTTTTGAGTGAATATAAAACAGCAACTGACAAAATGGATGGTGACACATTAAGAAGGGATTCAAGGAGTCGATGGCTCACTGGTTGGCAATAATAAGAATCATAATTTTTGAAATGTATTTTAATATATAATAAAAACGCAACTTCTAGTTCTATTTATACTGCGTTATGTATAAATAATAACAGAAAAAATAATACTACGTGTTTAATTTTAAACCTAGAGATTTATTGGCCTTTTCAAGGCGTTTTTGGTGCTGCTCCCAGGCTTTGCGTTCCCTCTCTAACCTTTTCTGTTGTCTAAGCTCTTTCTGAGCATCTTGATCAAGTAACTCTCCATCCCAGCCAGTTGTCTCATCCCATTCCCTCAGTTCACTGGATGGCTGAAACAATGTTTGGTGGTTACCTTATCATATTGCCAGACGATACCTACAATAATGGAAGCGGAATCATCTACGAAGTTCAGTCTATTAGCGGTACTAGGATTGGAGCCATTTGCGCCATGTGGTATGAATAATTTCGTTTGTTTCGTAATCCTGGGCGTCATATCTTCAAAGAAATTGAGCTCTTCTTCTGAAGTTTCCGATTTGGCGGCACCGGCAGTCTGTTGCCGGTATAAATCTATATAATCCTGCACCGTTTTGGGTTCCGGTTCCCTCTTGGTGTTGTCATCTCCCCAATCGTTTTCCCAACTGTGCACTTCGCCCGATTCCGCATTCGATACGACTTGAGTCAATGGTACCGTTTCCGCGAAGCTACGCTTCCTGCGCCGCAAACAGCACAGTGCCCTCCGCAGCAACTTGAAGCATGCCAAGAGGAAGGATTTGATCTTCAACCAGATCAGCGTCACGATCATTTTAATCGCTTACACTGTTATACACGCATATTACTCCGATTTTTTACCACTAATGACCGCTATTTGAGAAGCACAAAAATGGAACTGCAAAACTTTGTTTAAAAATGACGAGCCGGATAGGTTAGGATTATCAAAACAATTCGCTGTCAGCCGACCATCGATATTTTGACCAGTTTCCTGCAGTACCGACGTAGTGAGTTTTCGTCTTTCATGATAGAGGGCTCCAAAATAAGGCAGAAATTAAAATTCTATTTCGCGCTTTAAGTCATTTTCATTGCTAAAAGAATTAAATCTTGTATTTTAGGACTACGGAAAATGATTACTAAAACAAGTAGATTCCATTTAAGCAACGCTTTTCAACAAATTGCAATTCCAATTAACATATAACCAAAGATTAGCGGTTTGTGGCATGCATGCATCGCTATCGTCACAATTATTAGATAGCGAAACTTTCACGCCATTTCAAACGTTGGAGTTCCCAAGGCTCATCAGAAAAATTCGTTGTTTGAATTGTGTAGGTAACGTAATAACTTATTTTGGAATATCACGATGTGTAAACTTTTATCTGAAAAGCAAATATTTAAAAACTCTGGCAGTTTCTCGCTTGTCACTAATGCACATCCACATGCGCGTTATACCGGGTGTCAATGAAATTACTAGCCAAGCGACAAAAATGCATAAAATTGAAATTTAGAGGTGTTAAAGTACTGCTACATTTCGACACATAAAACAATTCAGTAGATCTTTAGGTTTTGCCGTAAGTATGCACCCTATATGTTGTTCTATTTTGGTTTCTATGTTCTTTATTTTTTTTTTGATAGTTCTAACAGTTTTGGAGATTAATTCATTCAATTCTGTAAGACAAAACGTGTTTTAAGAGTTTTTATGTATCTCCAATACATTTTGAGATATTTGCGATTTAAATTTAAAAGTCAAACTAAATTTAAACCATGGGGCACATATATTTACTAGCGAACAATAAATAATACAATAAATACGAATAACATAAAATAAATCAGCAATAAATTAAATTCTGTCCATTCGTATTTAAACACAAAATAATATGCTCTTCGAGTTCATGCAAACAATTTTCCATTTTTATTGGAGCGATTTCTCTTATGGCCGCATTAATTTGTGACGTTTCATACACCGTTTTTTTAATGTGCCCTCAGTAAAAAAAAGTCTCTCAGGTGTCAGCTCAGGTGATCTGGCCGGCCAGTTAAATATTTAGACAATGTCCTGAAATTATGAGCATTAGTTCCATCCTGTTGAAAGAAAATATTGCGCATTCTTCCAAAAGGTGGAGTTAAATGGTTCTTGAAGATAAAGATTGGTCCAATAAAACGATTGCCTAAAACTCCAAGCCATACGAATACTCCATTACCCAATTACTCCAAACCTGTCTTGAAATGCTCCCCCTTTCATTAAATATAAATTATTCGTATTATTGGATGTTTTTTAAACCAGTGCAACTACATACTAGATACCAATCAACTGCATTACAAAGTAAATGTCCGCATGTTCCAATTAATCATTGTTTCAGCAGTCATAATATTATTGTCACGGGCGCTTTATTATAAAAATGATTCTGAATTGAACACAGAATAATAAAAATTGCATTTTTAATGGGGTTTCCGTTGGAACTTTTTGCTGAAAATTACTACCAAGATTTTTTTCCACTTTTATCAAATTGCCTTATGTAAAAAATACTCTGTCTGTCAATTTTTTTGGTTAAAATATGTTTGTTCTTATTTAAATTAACATATATAAATATTTGAACGTTATTATCTCCAAAACTATTAGAGGTATAGAAAAAAGATAAAGAACATTTCATACTTGGATTTTCGAGTAAACTGCAAAAATGGGAAATATACAGTGTGTTTAATTTAAAATAAGAAGGTTGATCCCACTTCCGAAAAAAACGGAAGTGCTATTCAATTCTACAATGATGCTGTGCACAGACATATGTTTTCATGTTGGTTAGTTGGTTTGGTTTTGGCGGTGAAACAATAGTTGTAATCTGTCTGACTTGAACAAGAAAATGCAAATTAATAGCACACTTTAAAAATTACATCTTGAGCGAGAAAAACTGGCGGTAACGTTCATGCAAGTACGAAACTATTGGCATAAAAATTATCTTAAGCTGACCCATACTAAAAAAAAACAACTGCCTATTTTTATTGTATTTTTTTGAAGCAGCTATATCTCCGAATTGCGATAAAATCAATTAACTTTTGTTTGGTTTTAAAATGTCTCTAAGGTAAGTGGTACAGGGTGGTCCATTTAAGATGCTCCTATATATTATGTCAATGAGTACGACATTGAGGAGAAAAAGTTAAATAAAAAAGTGTTTGACCATAAGTATATATTTTATTTATAGCATTTTTATGTATACAGGAAGTTCCGTTGTATCTGGACAGACGAATAATTTTAAGAATTCTAATTACTCGCTTAATTTTTAGTATTTTTTGTCATTGTATAGCATACGAAATTTTGGGTATTTTTTGAGAAAAATGAATTTTTCCAATTTGCGAGGAATAACAGAAAATGTGTTTTTTTAAACTTGAAAACGAAAATTGAGAATTTTTATTATGGATCCACGGAGGTGGTTAATATATAATGCTTTGATCTACCTTTGGCGAAAATATATTGTTCAGGGTGGTAGCAAATGACCATAGAAAATTGTTTTTCCAATTAAAAAAACTCTTTTTTTAAGAGCACTCTGTATTTATTTACTCTATTTATTTACTTAAAAGTTTAGTTATATAAAAAATAGTCACTTTTTTCATTATTTGCACAGAATCATGTTGCTTGAGTTGTCTTTTTTATTTCTAGGGGAGGTATTAGAGTTTCTTTTAGTGCCTGTTGCAATTTGTAGTTCAGAGGCTCGCCATTATTTATAAAATGGATGGAAAAATGACAGATAAAAATATCATAATATCACTGAAAATTATTTTAGCATCTAAGAGTTATCGAGATTACGAAGAATTTAAAAAACCCGTGCGCCTCTAATGGTAAGTTTAAAAAGTCCAATTGGGTTTGGCATTTAACTGTGTATCATTTCATATATATAGCATTTATTACAAAACTTGGTAGTTTAAAAGTTATGGCCAATTTTTTGCAACAACTCGTGTATTTTATTTTAAATCAACTAAACCTATATAATATTCTATTCTAACTACGTTTTTTTCTACATTAATTACTTAAATTCACATAAATTCACAATTTTTGTTTGACATTTAGGTGCCACCAACTTTTTTTAAAAGAAAAAAAAGGCAAAAATGGCTTTTTACAGTGTTGAAGAGCGTTTAGATCTTGAATGGTGAGAGATATTTAAATTTGTTGGAGAACTATATATTTTCATTAATTGATAATCTGCCGGACGATATTAGAGAATAACTTGTAGTTCCTGTTGGTCGGTATGGGACCATTGGCCAGCGAGAAGCCCTGACTTGACACCTCTGGACTTTTTTTATGGGGCTGCATAAAAAAACGAAGTGTATACAAATAGGTGTAATAGTGTTCAAGACTTGAAAATGAGAATTCGGCAAGAGGAAGAAAGACTTAATGCAACAGGTGGATTTTACATAGAAAATGTTTTGTAATTAGTAATAAGTTCTACTTACTTGCATTAGTTGTTGATTTTAAATTGAATTTAAGTAATTAATGTTAAAAAACTTTGAATAGGATATTTTATGGGTTTAGATTTGAGATAAAATTCATGAGTTTTTGCAGAAAATTGGCCATAACTTCTAAACTACCATTTTTATAATAAAAGCTGTATCCGTGAAATGATACAGAATTAAATCATAAACCCAATAAAAGTGATAAATACAGGGTATTCTATATTTTTTAATGTGTTTTTTTAATTAGAAAAAACATTGTATGTAACGATTAAAAATACTTAAACGTAAAGCGAATCATTAGATTTTTTTAAAAATATTCATAGCATTCCATTAAAGTTGGTTACTGTCCTGGCACAACGAAACACTCTGTATGCACATAAATACCGTAAATAAAATATTTGTTAGAGATATACAAAGAAAAATGCACACCACCCTACACTTATAAATGTAGCATGGTTTTGATTTAAACATATACATTATTACTCGAATGCTCTTTTTATAAGTTGGCCTTTTTTTCTTTATCATAGCTGTCATTTGCAATTATTGCTCCCAAGATCTATAATGTTCTTCCTAATGAATGAATATATGAGAATGGTTCGGAATAAAAACAAACATTATTAATTTTTTTATCTTTAAATGTCGTATATTGTAATTATATTTTCTAAATATAGTCATACTTCATTAATGTAACATCTCTACATTTCAAATTTATTCAAAATTTTTTGATAGAGCTATCGCTTGGCTAGTAATTTCAGTGACGCCCGGTATCCGATGTGTTCCAATAAAAAAATAATATGTCCCGTGTTGGAGAGCTTTTGATCCGCGCTGATTATATATACGTGAAAGGCGACTTTTTTTACGGCAACCTTACAATAAGTTTATGGAAATCTTAAGCAAATAAATTCCGGTATTATGTTTTCTGTAACAATGCGAGATAATATTGAATCAAATGCGATCTCACTCCGACTATTCTAAAAATCGTAAAATCTATATTAGCACACCCATGCAGTTTGATTCCGTTCGTCGTTGGATGCGGAACGGGAGGGAAACAACGCGATTAATGTGATACAAAGGGACCCGAAATAGACATGGGGGCGCACAAAAACGGCGACGTCATTGAAAAAAGGACCGTCCTCTACAACGAAGCTGTCACCCTGACAGGCACGTTTCCACGCCCTACGTTCCTATGTTCTACTTAACGCTTCCATTTCAGGTTACGGAGTCTACAATCTCTACGTCCTTTTGGCTGCGGGAGGATGCCTCATGTGCGTCATCGTCGAGACGATGTCGATGTCTTTCGTCACTCCGGCTGCGCAATGCGATTTGAACTTGAGCCTCGCGCAGAAAGGCATCCTCGCCTCCATCGCGTTCATAGGGGTGTTCGTTTCGTCGCACATGTGGGGCTTCCTGGCCGATACGAGGGGCAGGAAAAACGTGCTCGTTTTCTGCCTGATCAGCAGTTCGGTGCTGAGTTTGATCTGCAGCATAGTTCCGTGGGCGTGGCTCTTTATTTTGCTGCGATTTTTGAACGGAGCCTTGTAAGTTAAATGCGGAGTTTCGGTTCGCTTTATACCGGGTGATGCATCCCATGTAAATTTTTAGGTCGCCAAATATTGGCTCCCCTGTAATATAACTTTTTGAAGGTATGATTAACTCATAATAAATTTTATTCAGCCAATCTTCAGTTATTGAATTAAATATGGTGGCAAAATTTGAATATTTGTATAGTTTAGGCAAAAGCAAACCCCAGTAAAATATATTTTGACAATGACTGTGTTATTGTGTCATGCGTTATTCAATTGTAGAAAAAGTAACGATAATTAAGTGGTATTATGCAGGAAACAGCCTTAGAGCAGGGTTTTCAGTTTATTTTCCTGCTAAAACTATACCTTAGGTTTCAACAATTAAGCGTATTACTACCCAATAAATAACTGCAAATGTCCAGCTGAAAATATCGATAATAGAGCAGAAGAAAGAGACAATAGGGATAGTGGAGCAAAACAAAAGTACGAGGATTCTTGAAGAAGCTGTAAATAAAAATAAATAATTTGTGGTATAAATACGAAAAGCACCAAGATCTCCTGGAAGGGGATAATTAAAGAAGAGTAACATTTTGTTTTGAAATTATTGAAAAAAAATATTTTCTTCACTGATAAATATCAATGAAAAATATGTTAAACACTGTCGGTATTGGCGTCTAGATAAGGAATATCGTTTTGTTTATACTCTAAGCCAATATCATCAAAAAATAAATGTTGCATTGGGAATTTGCGGCCATTGGGCCATTTTTTATGGACTATAACCTCACGGCGAAAACCTATCTGAACTTATTACAAAATAAAATTGAACCCACACTAGAAGAAGTTGTTCGCGAAGATGAGCAGATCTTGTACCAGATGGATGGTTGTTGTTGTTAGAGAGTATTTGGGAAATACTTTTACCGGGAATATTATTTTCACAAGCTGCCGAATTCTTTGGTCACCCAGATTATCTGACCTCTCACCGAACTAGTTCTTTATGTGAGGTCACTTGGGAAGTATTATCTATAAAAATGTTAAATTTGAAAATCTTAACCAGTTACAAAACGCTATTTCGTTGGGCAGGATATCGACTAAGCAATGTTAGAAATGAATTTTTTGATCACCTAGGATATGGTTAAATTGTTAATGGAGGGTTGTTTGAACATTTATTTAAAAAATAAAGTTTCTTTTAAATAATGCTTCTTTTAAGCAACCTTTTGCAGCCTAATTTTTATTATAATTATTAATTATTTTTAATAAAAGACTGGAGGGTCAAATTTATAGCCGTTCCTGGAGGCTTCCTTGTTGCGTAAACCGTCCTTCAAATCAAATTCATTCCAAAAACGCTTTAAGGGACAAAACAAGGTCTCAAGAACCGAGTATAAGTTTGATCCTAAAAAAACAATGATATTCCTTTATTTTGAACGCGTGAAACAAAATGTGCATGTCTTTATTGTAAACCAACCTTTATTTGATTTTTCATTGTCCCGCTTGACGTCGTCAAGTTTTGGAAATCGCGTATATGCGAATATGCGCTGGTGTTTGTTGCATTGAACTTTTGCATCATATTTAATTCAATAACTGAAGATTTTCTTGTTAAAATTGATTCAAATTAAAAAATATATATTTTACAACTTTGCTATAAAATGTACAGGGGAGCCAATATTTACATGGGATTTCTTATGTTCCATTCGGGGAATTTTCATCGTTATCATTAAAATTGATAAATATGAAAAAAAAATCCATACTTCTTCGAGCACGTTGTCTAATATATCTCAATAGAATAGAACATAGAATTAGTATCATGCATTTAGAGTCCCACAGGCACTTCGTCAAGTAGACGTCCTACTAATCATGCGTACAGAACGTACAATATTTGACGTCCTATAATTACCAAATATCGACGACCTGATCTTGTGACTTGGGATAATGTAAATTTATATTTTTTTATAAAAGAACGAACATGATATCGTTGTATTTAATTTTTTTAAGAAAATAAATTTTATTTGTGGTGATGCCGCGCGACGACCTCTAGCGGTGATACAAGTAATCGAAATAAATGCCCTTTCCGAATCGGAGACCTTTTCGACTACTCCAAGTGTGAAAAAGTTTCTTCACCCATTTTGAAGTTACACTTCCTTTAAGACGCCAATTACTTTTCGAGATGTTTATCGAAAAAGGCGCGTTGAAAGTAAAAGTTGTTCGACAGTTGGCGGAAATTCACAGAATCACTCTTAGTATTTCAAATTTTGCCAATTTGATTCAAGCTTTGCAAAAGGCATAAACATTATCGACCCGGTGACGCTTACTTTATGACCTAATTATGACTCGGCCATATTGTAAAGAAAATAAGGCAATTTTGTTTATTCTTTGATAAAAATTGTGCATTTATACAACTCGCCAAATTTTTTATCGTTTTACGAGCATATTTTCGGGTTCTCGCTAAACGAAAACATATATTACGACACCGATGAATATTTCCTAAAATTCATGCTCTAATATACAGCGTTGCTGAAATGGATCTACATCCTTTTTACTGCTATAAGGTTCGTATTTAAACACGTAGATTGAGAGCTTAAGCAAGGGGTATATGAAAAGGTTCAACCGGATTTTTTTTGATTATTTTAATTTGAATACCGCGTACATTATTGCATTCTGAGATTATGTATGCAATTCTAAACATATTTTATGTATAACAATAGACATAGGTACAGGATATATGTATAAAATATGTTTAGAATTCCACACAAAATCTCAAAATGTGATAATATACGGGGTGTTTCATTCGAAATAAGCAAGTTAACAGCAACTTCGGGTTAAACCGGAAGTGACAGGACGTTGAAAATAATTTTTATTTTACACTTGGCACTTACCTTAACCCAAAATGAACTGATTGGGTGAAAAACCCTGTATAGTATAATATTTCCACAGTACCACAATTTCAGTGATTCTAGTTCTATGTCCAAATGTTTATTAAAAAACAGATTTTTTTTTTGAAAATGTACCTTAACAATCGTTAGTTTTGATTTTTAAATCGAAATCGATGTTAATTCAACCCCTAATAACCCTATTTAAAATAAAAATTAACTATCATAATTTTTACACAGTGCATGTAAAATGTTTACACGGGTACTATTGACATTCTAATTGATTGGTAACAGATATAGGTCTTCTTGCTCACTTTCCAGAAGGGTGTGGGTGAAGGCTTCACTTGTACAATTTCTTTCCATCTTCTTCTGTTAGCTGCCTCACGGGTCCCTTGGATGATAGAACTATTGCGGTGATCGTCCTTGGGAACGTGTGCTCTTCACTTTGCTGTCCACTACAAGACGTTCCGGGTTATCGCGTCTTGATATATGTTGAAACTATTTAAGTATACGGCGATTTACTTCTTGTGTAAGTCGCTGGTGTCCATGATCTCCTCTGATATACATTGTTTTGTTCTACGCGCAATCCAGGGCACACACACCACTCGTCTTCAGCAATACATTTCCCGGGAATCGATATTCCTTTTGCCTTGTTCCTTGGTACAGGATACAGGATACAAGGATGCAACACCATACAGGGCAATGGGAAATATTAGTTTCCTTTGTTGTGTTCGGTATGAATGCCCTGTCCTTCCAAGTCTTTTCCAGGCTTCTGGTTGCACGTTTTAGCATCTTATATCGTCTCTTAATTTCTTGCGTGGATCTCCCTTATTTATACTTAAAGATATATGAACTTTTTACCACTGTTATGTCTTGGCGGTTCTTGTGCTGTCTGTCTGCGATGGTGACCTTTATCTTGTCATGGTTGATATACATGCCATAGTTGCAGGTTTTGTTCTCTAGCAATTCCATTAGCTCTCTGCCGAATTGTTTGAAAGCAGAACAATGTCGTCGGCATATCTAAGATTGTTGATTCTTTCTCCGCTAATCACAATGCCACCTTCCCAGTCCTTCAGAACGTTTATCATAACGTATTTACTATATATTGAACAGAAGTGGTGACAGTATACATCCTTGTCTTATGCCTTTATTTATAAAGAGGCACTACCGCTGTACTATCTGAATACAGGCTTGCAATCAGGGATATCAGATGTTTTGATGCTCCCATCTTGTCCAGAGAAGATCCCATCTTACACTATCGAAGGCTTTTTGTTGAATGTTATTGTTTGTGCTGTGTTTGGGAAGCGCCGACAAGTTGTGATCCTGGTAGAGTTTTTGAGTTGGCGCTAGACGTCCTCCATGGAGTTCTCACCAAGTGTATCTGGTTTCTATAGTTACCATCTGGAGATGCCAATGTGTACAGCATGCGTATATGTTGTTGATATACGGTGTTTGCTAAGGTTAAGTTATTCTCATTACAGAAGCTGTTTAGTCTGATTAGCGTGTTCCCCATATCTATCTAAAACGTGGCTAAGATGTTCATCGTCCATTGTGCTTCCAACCTTGGCCTTGAAATCGCCCATAATGATTACGATTTCACTATTTGGGATGCATATACATACACATACACTGTGTAAATAGTAAAAGGAAATAAAAAATCGCCCGAATTGGACCATTATCTATTTATTTTATTTATATTATTTATTTATCATATACACATTCACAAAATTTTCGAAATGCGTAAAAGCAGATTTTATTCCAAGAAGGATGATAATATAGAAGGTTACTAAAATTGAATTAAGTTAGACAAAATTGTGAAGAAAATAGGCTTCAAAACAATGGGATATGTTGAAATTTAGAACAGTACACCCTTATTATTTGTAGAATTTTTTACGGAGCAGATCCGATCTGGTACAATGAAGCAAGTGCAGCGTTTATAGGAGAATTTCAAAAAAATGTAATCACTCCTTAATTTTGCCAAAATTCTTCATATCAGAGGGTGCAAAGCTTGAATAAAAATTCGCGTAGTGTGAACCGACTGCAATGTTAAGATCTGCTTCAAAAAGTTTTGTTTTAAAACATTCTCTTGCCGTCTTAGAGTGATATATGCATATCATAACGCAACTCACTAAACAGCATGCCCAGTTGAATTTGGTGTGCCTTGTGTTATTGATCAGAGATAACTGGCGATCAAAACACAGTTTCGGGAGACGACTTTGGTCCATTCTTAACACTTTCATAAGAAAGGTGAGGCGAGATTTAAAGGTTTGGGAGATTAAGTGTGTAGAACCTGTTTGAAGACGAAGCAAAGCACTTGAATTTGATTTAGAAATTTGAAATTGATTTTGGAAAAAAGATCCTTCCGAAATAAACAAATATAAATTTATAATTTATCATTCAAAATGTCTTTATTGGTACTGTAGGGATACATTATACAATAAATAAAGACACTTGGTGGCAGGATTCAGCACAGTTGCTCATCTAAGAACCCTTAAGAAAACATAAGAATTATAATTTAACAGTCGTACATAATTTGAAAAAAAATAAACTCGATTGTTTATTTATATACTTAATGAAGGAACTCATTATATTATAGTTATAAACGACTTAGCAGATGGACAGGCTTTAAGAGTAGCAGGGACATCATTATAAACTTTAATAGCGTTATAAGAGAAAGATCTCTGAAAAGTGGCAGTAACACGTTGGTGGATGTTGGATCCTTTTAACAATTTGTTAAATAAATAAGAGGGCTCTGCAGTACTTTAAATTTTATGTACTAGAGTGACAAGGTGCAAGTAATACCTCTCAGAGATTCAACCACTTAGACTGTTTTAGATAGCCAGATAGCATAGTCCTGCGGTTATAGCAATAACGTAAACAAGAATTTTGAATTCTTTGCAGTCATGGACAATAAACCAAGTCTCCATACCCCAAGTTCTATAGTATTAGACTATCACACAGTTTTAGTCGATTGCTCGACGCAGAATGTCCTTAAATATGTACAGCATTTTCATTTTAAAAAATGATTTTTTATTAGTGGTGCCACATGGTCGTCATATCTTAAATTAACATCCATCCATCCAAATTATAATTATCGCGGACACTCTCTCTATTAGGGCCATCAAGAAACAGAGCGTGAGCCGAAGACAACCGAGGTACTGTATTTAAATCTGTATTTATATAACGACTTGCATCATCCAAGTTATCTTTATAAAATGGATCATAAATCTGCATGTAATCAGCATATTGATGAGATATGCATTCAATATTGGAGATGATACGAAAAGTCTGCTGTATGGACTGAATACATTAAAGACCCCAACACACTTCCCCATTTCTTAGTAGCAACAAAACTAGAAACATTACCACCCAGCATTACCCTCTGGCATCGGCCCTCCAAATAATTCTTAAAGAAATGCACAGCTGAATGGCTCAGTCCAAAAATACTCAAGCTTTTTGAGAAGCACACTGTGATCTAGCGTATAGATTGTCTTGCCGAAGTCCAAGAGTCCCAGATACGTATTTTTGGCAATGTCCTGTTGCTTCAGCAAATCCTCCGAAACATTCCCCGAACTTAAACCTGAATGAGTGGGGGGTAAAATACCACTTATTAGCAATTACTCATTTAGTTGTTCATATATGACCCTCTTTAAGCCAATGAGAGTATTTGGAGACGGAACCTTAGCTACTGGCACAAAGTGAGACTTTTTCCATAACGAAGGAAATTTTGATAAAACAATACATTTATTAATAAAAAAAAGTTATATGAGATGTGAGGTGGGGAAGAACGAGAGAAACAAGTTTACTATCATATCAGTCAACACATTTTGCATTAGTTTTTGTGTGACTAACGACCTTTTCCACTGTCTGTTCAGTCACTTCAGTAAAAGAAAACATATTTTTAAATTGTCTGTTATTATAGCATTCATTGATTATGTCGATACAAGAATTATTAAATGATTCAGATGTACCGACACCTTAGAGCTGGGCTTTGAATTAATATTAAGTTGTTTCAGTGTTTGCCAGAAACCTTTTGGACCTTGTTTAAATTTGTGGTTTAAATAAGCTCTCTTTTCATTAGGAATAGACTGGGTCACAAAATTCAGTAGACTTTTGTGTTTGTCAATTGACTCAAAAAACTTTGACCGATCAGTCCCACAACCCTAGTTGCGTTGCGTTGTATTAAGGATGTGTTTTTACCTATCAGGATCGGAGGTTCTTCATCTATAATCTACGCATTCGCCGGCGAGTTCCACAACGATCGATTCCGACCGATGATAATCTCCTGGATCAGCTCCTTCGTAGCTCTCGGTCAGACTTACATCCCTGGGCTAGCGTGGGCCATCCTACCGGCCACCTGGAGCTACGAGTTGCCCGCCATAGGCATCACATTCAGACCCTGGAGGCTTTTGGTGATAGTTTACGCGGTGCCCAGCCTAATAGTGGCCGCCCTTCTGGCGGCCCTGCCGGAAAGCCCGAAATTTTTGCTGACCGAGGGCAAACACGACGAGACGTTGAGGATCCTCACGAAGATGTACCGGAAGAATACCGGAAAACGAGGCGACTTGTATCCGGTCAAGAAAATCATCCTGGACGAAATCCCGGCCGATAAGGACGAAAGCAAATCGAACGTGTTCGTTTCCATGTGGAGGCAGACGGTGCCGCTTTTTCACAGGGAACACGTCTTCAAAACCATTTTCGTCAGTTATCTCCAGTTTGGCGTTTTCTTATCGTAAGATCCTATTGCCGATTTTAGAGATTCGCAAAACGGCATAATTAGATTTCGAATGGCACTTGCAGTATATACGATGCGAGAGAAAGTTGAAAAATTTTGGCCATTTAAAAAATTTATCATATCTTTGTTGAATTTGACAACACTTTTTCATTATAACTTTTCAATAGAAATAAAATGGAGTAATTAAAGTTAAAAAAAATACCGTCATCAATGTCAGAATCTTAAATACGGATTTGTTTTATCTCATACTTTCTTTTCAAAAAATGTTTTTGTTTTATGTTTTTTGGTATGAAAATAGTGTAATGGAAACTTAACTTTTATATATAAGTTATCATAAAACAAAAAATAATAAAAAACTTAACAGGGCCGTATTATCAAAGATCTAAAAGATACTTTTTGGGTTACTTTTTACAATGCTTCTGGATTCTTCCTGCGTCGGTTTTTGCTGGGTCGAAATTGCTGACGCTTCAGTTTCAGTCAAGCTCTGAAGAAAATAACAGGATGATTGGCGAAGCGCCTGCAATTTCGACTCAGCAAAAACCAACGCAGGCGGAATCCAGAAGCTTTGTAAAAAGTATTACAGTAGCCTGTGGAAGTTTCTTTGAAAAAAAATACTTTTTGGGAGTTAAACATTGCAAAAATAAAATTTAAACCATCACAGGAAGCATCTAAAACGGAAGGATAAAAATTAAACAAAACAAAATATCAGGACCGTATCCATGATTCTCACCCTAAGGATTATCCTGCAAAAACAATGACCGTATTTTATTTATGTTAAAAGTATATTATTTAGATTATACTATTTTCAAGGGGGCGAAAAAGTAGGGTGTAAATGGCATCTCCAGTAATAACGGAAAGTGGATACCCCCTATAAGGGTATCCACTTTCTGATACTCTTGAGGATTATCTTGAGTAAAATTACAGTTATCAAAAGTTTCAGTTTTCGCAATATTCATTTTTCATTAAATCGAAAGGTGCCCGAGGTGTTACATTTTTGCCAGCTCTGTCAGATTTCGCTACTGTACAGACAGGTGGTCCAGAGAATAAATTTGGTTAGTTTTGCTTAGAGAACGTGCGATAAGAATGCTAAATTACTTTACACAATAAAAAAAATTAGAAAACATTTGTTTTTCTTAGAATTTTCTTTTAATAAAAAGTGACCGCATCAACTATTTGCCAAGAAAATGTGATTCACCGTGCATATACAGGGTGTTTTTTAATTGAATGTTAATAATTAAGGGGGCGTTTTTTGGGTCCACTTTAAAAGAAAACTTCATATAAACATATGTCCTAAACGTCTTAAATTTGAAACACATTACTGTGTACCAATGGATATTATTTAATGTACCACAATTTTTTAAAAAAACACCAATGGCGGACATACGGAATTTCACATGTCTGTTTTGGCAGAAATTGATGGTACGCCACTGATTTCTCTTAAAATAAAAATTTTTCTTACAATCTCCAATCATTTCTAAAGAAATTTAATTTCTTGATTTTCTTAAACCGATGTACGGTTTTTGCTTTAAAAAATTCTTCTCTGCATGGTCTAGTCGGATACACATGTTTAGTCTTTTTCCTGCGTTCCTTAGCATAAACGGTGTTATTCTCCTCAGGCGTCCTGATATTTGTTTTCCATATCTTCTGATTTTATAGCGGAATTTCCGTAACATATCCCCCACAAAAAAAATCTAGTGGTGTTAAGTCATGCGGTCGAGGAAGCCATCCAATGCATCCAAATCTTTAACTGTGAAATAATAATGCATGTTATGACGATTAAGTGCACGACATGCATTTACGGCTTTCCGTTTTTTCATGTTCAGTACTGCCACTAGCATCCAACCGTTCCACTGTGGGCCCATTGCCCAAACTAGGTTGCATTAATTCGATTATTTTCTAGTTACTTAAAAACCTAAAAAAAAAATATTATTTATTATTATTATTATACATTGCCGGTAAATAATAATACTTTTTTTTTCAATTTTCCAGCGTTGTCACATTAGTATTTTTCGGAGTATATTTTAAAGATATACCAAAAATAGAATAACAAAAATTGGAAACATTTTGCAATTACTGAACGGTTTTATTCAAAAAGCTTCTGCAGTCACGTGAAATAATTTACCTGTATTTAAGAAAACAGAAAACACACTGGTTAACAAATTCCAAATATATGAACTATTTACCTAAATTAAATTAACTTATTGAAAATATAACTGTTTTATTAAAACAACACAGCAAGCAAGAGATCATACAAAACACAAAAAACTTAAAGGATAAGAAAAAGCCTTAGAATTGGCTTATAAATAACCTTTTGCCAGAGATTTTTTCTACTTAACATACTTTTTTTAACCCTGAAACCCACTAGGTAAATTATAATTTTAGCCATTCTCGCTGTCATGACATGTCAGATTCACTACCCATGCACTCACAGCCATATGCGGAGGTCTCCGAAAAATAGTCATTTTTTGTAAGGCATGGAAGCTCTGGGCTTTTAAGTAGAGCCAATATATCAGGTGATAGTGGTTTCTTTGGTCTTACAGTTTTTTGTCGGTAACTGGCTATAACGGGGTCAGAGAACACTAATAACATTCGCATCAAGTCGTTATCCGTGGCAATGCGTGATTTTTTTTGGGTGTGATGCTCACGATATGGCCGACAATCTTTGTGACGTGCCTCTTGGGCGTCCTCAGAGAGCTGCCCAATAGGGACAACACAATGTTTAATAATATCTGTGGAATGGTATAGCAGTTTCTGGATGGTTATGGAAATATAATACCACAAGTAAAGACTTAAAATATTTTAAATATTTCTTCTACAAGGTTTTTCTTACTAGAGACACTCCAGAATTGAAACAACGTTTTTTTCGATATTTCGTACATTTCTAAAAACGAAAAAACAAAAGTAGTCTTTAAACGTGTTTAAACGTGTGTATAAAATAAAAACAATATGTATAAAAATAATGCATTGTAATTGGCTCATTGCGCAAGCAATACATGCGATAAACAACTTTAAGAGCATATTAATTGTTAATATTTTTATCACTCAGAGGTTGACATTTTTAACTGGCATAAGCTTTGCCACTATTTGCGACATTTTTGGCTAACAGTTTTTAGTAGTTTACACCCTTGCCTAATAAAAAATGTATATTTTTGCTTGGCACTCGTTGGCCTTCATATTTTTTTACTCTATAGAATTTGAAAAATTAAATATTAATGGTACTTATCCCGTCACTTCTTGTCAAATCGCAGAAAAAACACAAACATTCTACATTGCATGTACAGTTCTAAACTAATTAACAGGACTGACATCAGTTGTCAAATACTTAAAGCGGCATTTGTTTTCAATGCCTACTAAGCCATTTAAGAAGTACGAAAACTTCGTTATCTTATTGAAGCGATTGCAATAAAAATAGACTTTCTTTTAAACATCTGATATTGTGCCTTCATAAAAAATTCTTGGTAAAGTATTTTTAGAAAGCAATATTGACAAATTTTGCATTTTTAATGATTTATTGCAACCTAGTTTATGCATGGGGCCCACAGTGCGTTCCACTAAACATTGAATGTATTGTCTAGTTGCTATACGCCTATTAGGGTACTTCGCCTTGTATAGTCTTACGGCCAAGTATTTTTCCACCTGAGCCTGTATATGAACCATATGAATTCGTATCGATTCAGCTTTAGGAAAATCCAAACTTTTTTTTACTAACACCACAAGAATTTTTAGGAATTTATTCACTCAGTTGTGGTGTAAAAATTTTATATCACATTGTCATGGCCCATTAATATTATAGCAATAGTCTTAGTCAGAAAGAAGAGTAAATATTGGAATAGTTAAAATAAATGATATCTAGGTATATGACACACTTAATAAAAGTTGTAGTTTAAGTTAGTTAGTTTTAAGGAAATCGAGGTTTTGCATACATCTTTTAAGTATTTTTCGAATAGAGTCAATATATTTAACATTTAAAAATAATGGCGCATTGGCGCAAGTTTGAAACCAAGGAGATAATGAACTTTAGTCTATCGCTGACTCACCCTGTACATACCAAGTGTTCAAATGCACGAAGAACATTTCGTATATCTGCTTTCTAGGGTTTTTCTAAAAGAGGCTAATGTTTACATCGAAGCAGAATTGTCCATTAAACGGGCTTTAATCAGATAATTGCCGATTTATTATCTGAAATTATTTTGTTAAGAATGTAACCCTGTGCGTCGCGTTTGTGACACTCTGTATATGAGTGCTAGGGATTCAACTCTTAATAATAAGCTGAGAAGGCGGTAATAATGAACCAGACTTAGAGTTAGAGTAACGTATAGCATTAGCTTAGACTGTATGATTATAAATTTATTCCTGTTTGAAGATGTTGTCACCCGCACAACGAGGTATACATTTCGATTTATTGCAACGGTATAATTCGAACCAAACTATACCGCACTTTATTGCACATCCCGTACACTAGAAGTCCACACCGATTTTCCGCAGCAAAAAACTGAATTTCAGGGCATCAGCTCTGCAGCTGTGGTTCCCCGAGATCCTCACCAGCTTGAACCGCTACAGCCAGGAGGTTTCAAATTCGGACGTGCAGTTTTGCAAATCCGTCAATTATAAACCCGTGGACGCGCGATCGGTCGCGAACTTGTTCAGTTTTTTCAGTTACTTGAGGGCGGACAACGTCACGGTATTATTTTGGCGTTTGCGATTTTTTTGGCGATTTTGGTGATGTTTATTTCGCAGGAAGCAGCCGCGTGCAACGACGAGGTTACTTCCGACGTATACCCCGTGATTTTGGGGGTGGGCGTGGCCATAGGGGTCGCCTATATTATAATCGGCGCGATCATCAACAAAATCGGGAAAAAACAACTTCTGGCCGGTGAGATTTTGTGAGATACGATATGGTTTCAGGATTTTTTTTTAAGCACTACTCCTGACAATCCTTTTTTGTTGGACAGATTTCACTGAAAGACACTAACGATTTTCTTGAAATTAGATGTGAACTAAACAGACTTTTCAGAAATATCAAAATTGATTGACGTCGGCGTACCGTTTCCTTCGTAAAACGTCGCTAGCTTTTTTTCCGGGATATTAAAACGTAAAGTTAATTTGTCACGACCGCAAACACGCATTCCAAAAGTATTTGGCAACAATCAGAGGCACATTGAAAAGTGCATAGAGAAAAATGGCGACCTAATTGAAATTACTAATATTTAATTTCCACATTGTTTTGAATAAGTTCGTTTTTTCCAAAATTTATTTTGCTATACATGTTTATGCCATTCCATATTCCAGAGATAGTGGAAACTACTTTTTCCTTAATTTAATAGATAGGTATATTTTTGAACGAATGCTAAAAAGTCCCGAGTGTCTGAAATCGACTTTTTGTCTTTTCGGTAGGCGTATCAATTTTATAATATTATTAAATATAGTCCTTGTTGAATAAAAAACTCCAATTAAACGAATTTTTGAAGAGTTCGAGTTTATTCCAATATATCGGACACTTTTCAAAATTTCATCACATTTGCAAAATTTTAATTAAATTAAATTATTTTTTTTTTTAATTTTAATTTTTAAAAAATAATTTTAATTTTTTTCATTTAAAAAAAATAATAAATTTAATGTTAAAAAAATATTTTATTTGATAAATTTATTTATATATAGATTTATTGTAATTGCACCAAAATTTAAAAGCGGGATGGGCAAATCACCAAATTGGTACACCGGATTTCACAAAAATTTCATCAGTTTCAGACTGTACGAATTTTACAAATATTTCACAGATTTCTAAATCATTTTCCCGATTACACCGATTTTGAAAAATACTTTTCAGGTTGTGGAATATGTTTGTATTCGGTCGAAATTAAAAAACTATTAAGTAGAAATAATATATAAAAGATAAACTTTAAACGTTTTTTCAAAACGTGGCAAAGAGTACTGTCATTATAAATTCTATAAAGATTTAATTTGGTTCATTGAAAAGATGTTTCATACATTTAGTTAGAAATTTTGACAATAATTATTAATTTTCTGCGCATAAAAAAAATACAATTAAAGCCAAAGAGAAAAAAGCAGAGAATGGAAATATTCTTTTTTGAAAATAAGTGCAAAAGCATTCTTGACCAGGATTTGAACTGAAAATTAAAACAAGCAGATTTATATTCTTAGGAACTTTTTATCCTAACATCCTATTATATTTTACATAATTATTCTATACAGGTTGATACCACATGTCCTTGACTGTATCTGGACTAAAATTAAAGAAAAAAGTGGTAGAAAGAAAAATTAATGATGCTCATGAATTTGGTAGATTGATTTATTCAGTTTTTTAAAAATTAATGCAAAAAACATAGTTACAGCTGAAAATTAAAACAAGTTGCAGATTCCTATAGTTATTAACTTAATTCTTTTTCCAAAATTGTACTTTTTGATTTCAGGGGTAGCATTTGTAACAGCTGCGTGTGGTTTAACAGCCCAGTATATCTACGGTTATGTCACCATTCTGGTACTGGTCGGCATATTTCTTCTCATATCCTCTTGTATAGGCATAGTTAATGCGTTTGTCGTCGATCTGTACCCCACCAACATTCGAGCCATGGCTCTGGCCATTTCGCTAATGTTTGGTAGAATTGGGGCTGCCGTGGGCTCCAACTTGGTCGGAATCATGTTCTACAACTACTGCGATTACTTGTTTATAATGTTTGGCATCAACCATATATGTGAGTGTATCTTTGCTCAGCATATGCAATGGTTATTGTTTTTTTTCTGTTTCAGTGTTAATTTTGTCGGCCATACTGTTACCGAAGCCACCGAAAGTAAATATAAGCATTGAAGATCCAAAATAATTGTTACATATTTATTTCCATTGTATTAAAACATATTTATTTTTTATTTATTTATATTTTTACTATGTTTTGAATAGTTTAAACTTTTTGAAATACTTTTGAACTTCATCTTTCGGATAAGGTTTGACGGCAACGCACGTAGGTATACCCTCAGGCTGCTCGATCCACAATTTATGCTTCACATGATTTTCGTCCAGTTTGACTTTTAAATCCGCAATACTCTTCTCGTCTGGGGCTTCGAGTACCACTTTGTGCATATTATCAACGTCACTTAAATATTGTTTTGTACATTCGTCTTCGTAGAACAAGTGGACAACTGCGGTAACAGCGTGGCATGCCTGGGCTATCACAGCCCCTAAAGGCCACTTTAATTCTTTTATTAAATCCCCACGCACCACTACATACTGAACTAGAGAAGACGACATAACCGGTCCAAAAATAAACGTATGTTATATATCATTCACAAATATTATAATGTAACAAAATAAAGAATGCAATTAACCTATCTCCCAAAAATGCCTGAAGCGGTCAAAATAAATAAATACGTGCAGATTGTTCTCTGATCTCCTCTTTTCTTTTTCTCTTGGCCTGTGTCTTGATGGTTCGAGGTTAACGCATTGAGAACAAATGGCGCACAAAAAGATGACGCACACAATTTTACGAAAAATGATTGTTTTGTAGTAACAAGAAAAAATATATGTCGCTGGGACGATATTCGGGACCTTACCATTTTATTGACATGGACATCTAGCTCGTCAAATTCGCAGTGTTTTCATAAGTCATCCTATTGTGACATCTATTGTCGAATTCTGAATACAAAAACAGAAATTGCTCGCAGGTGTCGCTTAAAATTATCTGTCAAGCAATTTGACGGAGTTGCAGTTAGTTTACTTTCGATGGGCATGGTCGTACTTAAAATACTTAAAATTTAAGTAAATAACATTCCCATCTTCCTGAAAGATTTTTTTATTGACAAAAAATGATAATGAATTTGGGATTTTATAGCCTTTTGAAGTAATACATACTTTGGAGTGTAGTTGTAACGTTAATTACAAGTTTGGGAAACATTAATTGACGTGACGCCGCTGTCTCAAGCAGTTAACCTAGGGATTTTAACCAATAAAAAACAAAATAGCTCACTACGCAAGGAAACTAGACAGTCACACAGTTGTAAATATATAGCATATATTTGTTATGATATCATTAGTATATGGGATGGGTCGTAGTTTTCCTTAATGTTTTCCTCAATTAATTCTCGAAAACTATGAAACAAAACGATGGGTGAGTACCGCAATCCCATAGAAGCTTAATCAAACATGTCGTTATTTTGTTTGAATTTTTTTTAGTTGAAGTAATCGTGGAATACGACTACAGTGCCAAGCAGGAAGATGAGCTAACCCTAAAGAAGGGCGACGTAATCAAGAATGTCGTCAAAAAGTCGGGGGGCTGGTGGGAGGGCACCCTTAATGATAAAAAAGGGATGTTTCCTGATAACTTTGTCCGGGTGATGGATAACGATTCGGTGGTGTTGCGGAACAAGAAAGATCTCACTCGGATAAGACAGTGCAAAGTCGATTTCAGTTATGACCAGGAACATGAGGACGAGTTAACGTTAAAAGTGGGTGATGTAATAGATATTATCGGGGAGGCGGAAGATGGTGAGGTTGCTGAGCTAACAACGGCCAGAAAGTTGTCAATGCCGCTATTATTTGTTTAAGGTTGGTGGAGAGGCATTTTGAATGGAAAGGAGGGTGTGTTCCCTTCTAATTTTGTAACTGAACTTCCTCCGCTCGCTGTTAACAAACCGAGGCCTAGTTTAAGGGAAGACTTAAAAATTCCTAATGACACTCTCCCTTTGTTGCCGAGAAAGCCTGGTAAGTTGCTTTGTATTTGGTCCCCTGAAATCCATTTGATAGTATGTTGAGATTTTGGTGTTATACCATTTGAAGGATGGATTATTGATTAGATATTATTATATTAAACATTGATGATAAAACGTGACTGATTGCATATTGATAAGCTGTTGTTATTCTGAGAACGCGATAATGAATGTTGCTTCAGATTGCATTATTAATGTAACTTTTGAAGATAATACATGTTTTCAGTTTAGCAAGAAATAATTGTTAATTAAAATTTCGTATTTGATATCAGAATTTCCCTGATCTTTTTGACTTTGCCCGACAGCAAAACAACTCTGTGAAGTCAAGTATTCATACAAGGCGCAAAATGATGACGAGTTAACCTTAAAAGAAGGTGACATTGTAGTCTTGTTGAGCAAGGACGGTGAAGATCCTGGATGGTGGAAAGGGGAACTCAATGGCAAAGTGGGAGTCTTTCCCGATAATTTTGTTGTCCTCTTGCCTGGTTCTGATGACAAGAAACCCATAAATGTGGATCCCGCCGAAATTGGTGCAATTAAGCCTAGCTCAGTAGCTTCGCAACGTAAAAGTCTTGAAGTCAAAAGCGAAAAGCCTCTCGTGGAGAATAAAACACCTCCACTTCCGGGCAAGAAGCCTATCATATCGTTAAAAAAATCACCTAGCGCTAGCGGGGTCGGTTTGTTCTCTAAGATCAAAGATAAACTTATGACGGACGCCCCAGATGGTTCAGGCGGAAGTAAACCCAAGACTGAACCGGTCCCTACAAATAAGGACAGCGGTAGTGGAGATAATGTGTTCGATCAGGTTGAACGAAGGTCTTTGTTGTCCGATGTTAGGGCCAACAGGGCACGAGCTCCAGGTGAGTGAGTCATTTCTTTTGAGTAAGTAGTTCATATGTTCCGCGCTCTCCACATTTCAGCTCTGTTTCGTCAAGGCTGTCTTGCAAAAGTGACACCAAAAACCAAAACGTGTATTTCAAAAATAAAGAGTTTTTTGCTCTAAAAATTGTGGCAAAAATGTTAGTCCAAGCATTCCATTAATTTGGTAGTTCAAATAATTGTTTTTGTTGCAATTATGAAGTTTCTTTTGTTTTCATCTGAAGCATACTGAAATATTATTCCTAAATTTGAGTTCTAGTAGTTCTAATGTCCCCTCCAATAGAGTTATTAGGTAGATCTGAAATAATGTTTACAACTATTTACAATGAGGATAAAATTAAAAAATATATTATTTTTTATCCTCATTATGTCATCATTATATTTGGTTTATTGTCTTAAACAGCTAATGGTACCAAACTAATTTTTTTAGTGATAGTTTGGTAGTTCAGATAAGTATCAATTATTTTTGTAGCATCTTGGTAGATTTAACCTCGAATGTACCTTAAAATATTTGATCATATCCACTTCAAGCTACCAAGAGTTGCCTCGATAATAATTGTTTAAACAAACAAGTCTGCGGTTGTTTATTAATAAAGTGTGACATAATTTTGGGCCCAGCATTAGTCACCCGTTAATGATTCTCTCTTAGAGCGCGCAAGGTCAAAAAACTTTTGTTGTTGTTGTTGTTATATTAGACAGGTTTTCGGAATTTTAATTAAGAATGCAAGTATGCACCGCTTTTTTTTTTTTAAATAACATTTCAGACTTCAGAATTGATTAAATACAAAAAAAAAACTTGGCACACACTAACAGTCAAGCACTTTATAATGTGTTTTGATTCTTATACATTTCCTTTTCTTGCTATCCTTGTACATACAGGGTGTCCTATAAGTTATCAGTTACATAGCAACATGGTGAAACCATTAATGAATGTCTGCAAATGTTAAAATATTAATTATTGCTGATTAAAGTACTGCAATTTTTGAAAAATTGCAATGATTTCACAACGGATAAAAATATTGAACTCGTAATTAGTATGAACAGTGCGGTCCGTTTAAGATGCTTCTATACCTTATCTCAACAAGTACGACACTGAGGAAAAAAGTTAAATACAATTTTTTAATCCAAAGAAGAAGACCCACAATTTTGAAGTCACCTAAAATCATTGAATTATAGTCCTTAAATTTGATTTTCTCTAGCGGTAGTTGCAGATTTTCGTAGCATTCTTTCATTTGCACAGAATGAGCAACAGATACAGAAGCAAGTGTGCAAATGAACAACTTTAATGCTTGTCTTGGATGAGTCAATAAAAAAGCCTCAAGTCCTCAGTATTGCAGTCTGCACCAAGTCTTTTTGTTAGATTCGGGATGTGGATGCAATAAACAAACGAATAACCTTATTCAAAATGTCTCGCGCTTCCTGAAATATGTAAACCTGTCTCTTACCAAGTCATTAAGTTCTGATTGTGTTAATAACAGTGGCAATGTTTTGACTACATATTTGGGAATCTCAGAAACCGAATTTTAGTTTCGGAGATTCCCCGCTAATATTCTGCAAATTTATGCAAAATGTATGCCAATGGCGTAGCAATTTCAAAATAATACAAATCGGCCATTCTCAAAAAGACACGATCTCACAAAACCCTAAGGATTCAATTCAATTAAACTCTGTCGATGTCTCTTAATAGAGTTGACCAGTTACTTGAAGAATTTTGACATTTCAAGCAGATTTCTCTTGATTTCAAAATTTTATTCCTAAACTTTCCACCGTCTGAGTTCATTAATTTAGTGAGCTCTGTACTTTTTTTAAGTGAAATTTTCATGAACAATCGTCGGAGAATAATTATGTTTAGTGAATTTTTCACATATTTAGTAGCTTGCTTATTCCTAACGTTTAACAATTCCTTACATGAGAAAAATTATTTTACTTTGGAAAAGGAAGTCGGGGGTACCTTACCGTTTCTTGATCTTCTATTAGTTAGAAAAAGTAAAATAATTGAATTTCAGATTTTTAGAAAGGTCACATTTATTGACAATACAATTTTTCTTCAACTCTTCATATTTTCATAAATGTGCTTCTTTTAATTCTTTATTCTACAGTTTTTTAACATTCCACATTCAAAGGGAGCGTTTAATAAGGAATTGACGATGATAAACAAATTATTTTACAAATTTGCCTACAATTATCATATTATATAATAAAATCAAAACCTCCCACACGTAATTTCCATTGCCTGACCTATTTCGCCAATATTTCATTATATGTAGCTAAATTGTTCAAGAGCAGGAATAAATCTATAGCGTTAAAAAAAAACAATGCATTAAAACAATTTATAATAATAGATAAGGATTCAATAGATTATTTTTCTAGATCAGTAGTATATTCTTTGAACTGTGAGGATTGTAATGCAATTTTTATCAGAACACGAACATTTCAGTTTGGTGAAAAAATACAAGAGCACTGAAGTCACCGAGACCAAATCTGCTTTCACTACTCATCTTTTGTCCACGGGGCATAACTTTTCTCCGAATAAAAATGTCATTGTTTTATACGAGTGCCCAAAATTAAAAACTTATTTTCTGGAGAAATTAGAAATCACCAAAGCCATTTGCGTCGACATTTATTTTTAATATTTTTTTCGGTAACATCTTATACCTATTTTTAAAACAATAAATATTACATTTCGAAAATTGATTGAAAAATCTTGCTATTGAAAACAAAAAAAAATATTTTTTTATTAGTTAAGTACCTATAACTCTAAAAATACGAGAAATTCCAAATCACAAAATCTTTGTGGGTCTGTGTTATCTGAGATGCCAATGGAATGAATAATGACGCTAAATAAAGTTGCCACGTTTGGTCTGAATCTGTTAAAAAGTTTCCGGGTAATAAGAAAACCTTTTTTTTCCATAAACTTTGACACTCTGTATCTCATACACAAAGCAGTTTAAACGAAAAAAAAAACAGACCTATTCTGCACCGAGTCGTTTACACTTCAATTTAGGAAAAATACCTTGAGTCAGTTGGGTGTTATCTTATCAGAGCGCGTCTAAAAATTAACAGTTAAAATAGATAATTCCTATGTAATCCTCGCTCGTTCCGATGCTATCGCGTTAATGCGTCGTAAATATTTCCAATCCAGGGCGAAGGCTTCCCACTTCCATATACAAAGAGGACGACGAAGAAATCCCGGGCCTGCCCAACGGAAACGTGGACCATCACAACGCCGTTCCGGTTGGTAAAGCGGAAAGGACCGTCAAACCCGATTCCGGCGGCAAATCGGAGTCGATCAAAAGCGAGCCTTTGGACTCGTCGTCCTCGTCGGAGCTAGACGCCGCCGAAGCCAAACCCAAGCTGAGGGAATGGGAGAAACACAAAGCGCCCTGGCTGGAGGAGATGAAACTAAACCAGGCGAAGAGGACCTCGACGTCTCCCGGGCCTGAACCGAAGCACAAACTGTCCTCGGCCCCCGAACCCAAATCGGAACCGGAAGTGTCCAAATCCAGTCAGAGTTCGCCCGCCGAGAAGGAATTCCAGATCGTCGACATGTCCAAGTCGATGTCCGATATCAAGACTAGTCCGGTGGAAGTGTTGAAACCTTCGGTGAACCCCAAGACGTCTCCTGGCGAGCTGGAGAAGACGCCTAGTATGCGGTACAAGCCCTATATGCCCGCTCCGCCCGTTAGCAAACCCCCCGTCGGTAAGTTCTTGGCACATTGAGGTTAGTTTCTGATTTATAGATAGATAGGACAATACATACAATAGAACATCTATTCTGAGCATGGAACATTGATGTATGTCATCAAACAAACCAAACAAATATTGGGGTGTCAATGAAATTACTAGCTAAGCAATTCTTATTCCTCCAAAATATATAAAGGTCTCAATATATCAAAAAAAAAAAAAAATTTATGGGTTTGCCGTTAGATAGGACTCGAGCACGGAGAATGTATTTTGTAGCGTTGCAGATTATATGTGTGATGGACATTTTTCTTAGCTTTCAACACAGTGGCACACGGAATCCTACTGGAAAGACTGAATGGTATTGGTGTAAGAAGAGTGGCAAATGACCTATTTGGATCTCATTTGAGTGAGTGAACACAGAGCAGCAGCAGGTGGGATTTGGTGTGCCGCAGGGCACGGTGCTTCGTGCGCTGACATTTCCATTAGCCGAATAATGTCTGTAACTAATGAGAGGAATATGTTCTGCTTTGCTGAAAATACAGTCCAACTAGCAAAATGGAATTCTTAAAGGATTAATATGTCCTATAACAGTCAGATAGAGTTGTTTGATGGACTGTTTGTTTTTGTTACACCTTTTTATAGTGGGTTTTATAATATATCATATATCGGCATTATACAATTATGTCTTTTACAATGATATAATACTTCATAAGCAAGCTTATACAATATCAAAAATTAAATTTTGTGAGACCTGTATACCTAGTGTATAAGGGTTCTATAATATGGCATATAACTACTAGTGCAGCATGATAAAATAGTTTAATAATTGCTTTGTAGCATTGGATTGCGATGCAACCACTTACTTTTGGATATTATTATATCAAAATAAATACGTTCTAAGATCTGCGTTATAACGCTTTGAAGTGAACGTAACATAACATATTTGCACTAAGATATTTATATTTGTTAAATAGCAAATTTAATTTATGTAACAGCTATTATAATGAATTCTCAGTAGAAAAAAAAAAACAAAAGACGATGTGGCAATTTTTAAAAAGTGTGTAATGACAAATATCATTAAAGTTTTGCAAGTAATTCAGAGATTTTACATTCTAATTTGAATGGAAGTTTCAGCACATCATTAATTCAATCATACAAGACAAACCCGACAATAATAGTGTTGGTATGGATATCCAAAATCTCAGACTCATCGAATTTTATTTTTAGTTTTTTATTTTACGTGCGACAAAAATATAGAGGGTAGCCGATATCCTTCGCTTGCTATATAGGATCTAAAATATATGTATATGAGTTCTTTGAGATTTGATAATACTTCAGTCAGTACTTAGTCTTAATTGTAAAATGCCCAAATCTTATTCGTTTATTCGTTATACAACAGTTTTATCAAATATCGTTTTTATTTACAATGAAACAAAATAGTTATATTATAAATTATAAATAATAAATTTTTGTTTCGCATAAAGCCGCGATTTTGCATTTGTATTGGGAAGATATGAAAATAAATTGGAAAGTGTCTTCATTATTATTTAGAGATTTATATAGCGAAAGAATTCTCATAAGAATTATCAATCTATTGAAATCTTAAAAAGATAATTTTAACGAAAAAATATGTATATACATTTGTTTTATTTATTTCATTAATTTTACAATAATTTATATTTTGCGCGTTTTATACGTACACGGAAAAAAAAGTCTAATGGTGTCAGGTCAGGTCAGGTAGGTCTCACCGGCCACCTTGTTGAGCTATAACTTTATTCAGTGTTCGTCTAGGTTTTCATTTAGATGTCTAGATAATATCCTAGAACAATGCATATTCTATCAAGAGGTATATTGTCAGCAGAAGGCATAAGATTTTCTGAAATTATTTCCAGTTAAGTTTAATGGATCCGAAAAAAATTTGGTCCCATGAAGCAATCGTCTAAAACCGCAAGCCAAACATTTATTCTAAACCTGTCTTGGAAGGCTCCTTCTCTCATTAAATGTTAATTGTTCCTAGATCAATACCTTGAATCAATATCTTCTGTTAAACATGCCAACATTCGTAAAGTACTTTTCAAATTTTTAATAATGGATTATTTTTCAGTGTAACTGTTACAAAAGTTTAATCTCCAACGAAAGTCACCTTCATAGTATTTGATATTTAAAGGGTTTCGTAACTTATTCAAAAAGTATTAGTACTTATTTTGTCTACTTCGCTTACAATAAAATTTATCAATTCAATTCAATTTTTTTAATATTGTGAAATTCTTGATTTTAATTTTTTTAAATTATGCTCCAACTCAGTATTGCTGAGGCGGTATTTTAAATATTTAATTTGACTTTTAAATTTAAATCGCAAATATGTCAAAAATTAGTGGAAATACATAACAACGCTTTACTATAAAAAATATTCTAAATTGAACACAGAATACTAAAAATGGGATTTTCAGTGTACTTATAAAAGCGAAAGTTTTCTTTTTGCTCATTTTATAAATAACATTGTGGCAAATAAGACGAGATACGATATAATATTTTAACCAAAAAATTTAACAGATTGAGTATTGTTTATAGAAAATAAAGGGCCAAGAAGATTAATATAAATCAAAAAATTTAGATATTTAAAATTACCGCTACATCACTCTAAAGTAATTCCCATGAATTATTAATTAATTTGACATTTCTATGTTTATAGATTATATATAATGTAATGTATGAATGTGTGTGTTTTAATTATTTGTTTTTATTTTTGATCAAATACAAAATATACAAAAAAATACAAATAAAAAATGTTTACACGAGTAATTTTACAGTCGCACAGTTTTAAAATTTCAGTTGATATTTAATATTATAACCTAACTTACAGTTTGGGTTGTATAAACCAGCATAACGTAAAAGTAATTCTATTCAAAAACACAAAAAAGATCTTTATTAATTTAATAATAGAAAACGTAAAAAAAGAATGGTAACTTTTTTTTGGAGTACCTAAGATAATTTTAATTCTTTTCTTTTTAAAGCAATAGAGCTACAAGAATTTATCTTGTTACCTACCACTCAAAACGCTCTTTTTGTCTGCTAATAATACGAAAGTATAAAGTCATTGCAGTCTAATATCAAAAGAAATTTTGGAAATTCTAAACACTCAAATTTCTGAAGAAAAAAAACGTGAAAAATAGGTGGAAAGTGCAGAACCCTAACGCCAGAAATAAACGAATAAACAAACAATGTGTATGAAAATGTTGCTACAGAAGATTCGGTAATACGAAACACAGTAGAGGTTTTGACAAAAAAAAAGTCTCCCATCAAAGAAAGCGGTTAAAGTTTCCAGGCATGAAGAAATTATTGCTTTGATACGCGAACGAAATGAAATTCAGAAAAAGAAATAAAATCTTTGATATTAGTAAATTTGAATTGTTCTGTAACATATTTACCCTCTCTTCTCTCTCTCTTAATGGTTTTGCATCCAAGTTCCCATCCACTTGTAATTCAGTATCTCCGTCAGGCTCATTTTCTTCAACTTCCCGAGAATTTCCTCCATCTCGTGTTTGCCGGGCGTGACAGATAATATCGTTAATAGCTTGTTTATGCTAATTAAAAAAGACAGCTCGAAATGTAGACTTAGTTTTTGGAAAGCCTCAAGAGCCGCAGGCGTTTATCGCGATCTTGTTTCCAGCAAATTTGCCGGCCAGAGATCAGGTATCAAAGCCGGCCTCCATCCCACCCCAGCCGAAACTGTCACCAAAACCGTCATTCTACGAGAACGCGGTGCTCTCGAAGGCACCGGTTGCGACCGAGCCTTCCACGGAAGCTACGGTTAGCCTGAAGAACTTCAACGACGTTCTGGAGAGGCTGTCCAAGCTGGAGGCGATCGTCGAACGGCAGGCCCAGGCGATCGACGACTTGAAAAACCGACTGCAAGTGGAGAGCGACATGAGGGTACTGCTGCAGGAGAAGATGTCGCTGAACAATGTACAGGTTTGAGGACGGGTCGCTGTGTTTAAAGTTTTTTTTTTAATTTATATCTATCGAAGTATATTTTTTTATACGAGCTATTGGGGTATATCGATAACTTAAGGGAGAATTTTATCCTGTGTCGGTGTCAAATGAGTTTTTTTTTTTTTTAATATTTGCTGCTACTGTCAGGATCGTTCGGCCATCTAATTAGGTTACGATCGGCGTTCTTCTTGCTTAAAAAGCGAAGAAATTTGTGTGAATGATGCGCGAGAGTGTAAATAATTGTATATGGAGTTTTGTTTTTTTGCGGGGTTGCGAAAGGTAGCTAGAAAATATAAATGTTCTAAAAGGGTCTACAATATTCAAAAATCAAAAATATGAGTACAAGCCATAAACTCGAGGGGTTAACCACTGTGGTAAAAATTTCCACCCCATGTCGCAGAATGTCATATGATTTCGCAAGATTTCGCATGATGGTCGAGGTAAATAATTTTAATTAATTAATATAATTAACTAATTAACTATTACTTAATCATTTCTTATAATAGTTAATAATAAATTTTAACTAATAAATAATCAATTAATTAATTTAATTTCAATTTCACTACTACTAAGACTCACAAATTAAACTTCTGTGGTGGGAATAAGACTGAGGAAGAAGCTATACAGCTATTAATCGTTTTTATACGTTACGCACAAAATATACAGGCTCATTTTATCCCATTTCGGTGCGTTTTTGGATTTTTTTTTTAATTGTGCAATTTTTAATATGCGGGGTGTCCAAATAGCGTGTCAAAATAAACATCTGGTTTATTTGCTTTAGAGAAAAATAATACAAAAGTTATGGATGAGACTAAAAGAAATAATTTAAAATTGTTTTCAAATAATTCATAAAAAACCAGCCAAAATTATATTTTTTTGATTGTATTATACCATTAATATATACTATACTCCCTTTTATACTTAGTCACCCAATGTAGGGTTGACCAACAATTTTATAAATTGGTAATTTATCCTATACTGGCCTCGAAGTTAGTTGGAATCGTTTATACAGAGTCAAAATGGAAAATATTAATTTTCGTGGAAAAATCAAATGGAACATATACTTCCATTAATTACTCTTATTAATGCTGTTTCAAGTTTATTAAGCCTGTCCTATAGCTAAACGTAGTAATACTGGGAGTATCGACTAATGCCACAATGTACAGGGTTTTCCATTTAAAAAAATATGTTTGATTTCCTACATGTATGCTTGAAAATAATTTTAAATTGTTTCTTTTAGTCTCATCTATAACTTTTGTGTTGAACATTTTTCTCCTAAACAAATAATAAATGCGATATATTACTTTGACACACTATTTGGGCATCCTGTATAGTTTTAAAAATTGTATTATTTCCAAAATGGGAGAAAAAAAAAATCTAAATAATTTTAACTGTTTGTAACCTTCAACTCTATCAGAAGGACTGGGATAGGGTGTGTAAAAATTAGCTTCCATTGTCGTAAACAGATTCCATTGCGATTTTACAAAATAATTGGAAGCAATCGTTATGAAGACGTTTAGGTTCAAAAATCATTTCATTTAATGAAAATTCAAAAAACAAAAACAAAATTCAAAATCTCGTGGAGGTATTAAATACCACTATAATTTGTTTTCTATTTTAATGCTTTAGCCGAAGCCTTACCAATGCAGATAAATTACGAAAAATAGAATAAATTTTTTTAAATTTTTTTATGGATGAAATTTGTTAAAAAAATACACTATTTGTTTTATCATCTTCTAAAGTAAATTATGCAAATTAAAACACGTCTATAAATATTTTTCAAAGTTTGTAAATATGTACCGGGTGGCGAAAGTTCTTTGGATTCACTTTACAAGATTTTTGCATTTTCATGGACAACTAACCACTTTCTTATTTTAAATGAAACACTCTATATATAGGCACTTTATATAGGCGATTTAATATACTAGTCTTAAATTTCATTATTTCTGAGAAATTTTCAATTTTATATCGAAAGTGATGTTTACATTCCTTGGCGAAGTGTTTTGGGTTGCTGTCATGTTAAAAAGTGAACCACAAACTAATATTTGTCGATAAACGTACCTATCTATTTTTCCCTCAATCTAATGAATACACCAACTCCATGTTTATCTGGTGAACAAACGTATGTAGGATCAATCCTTTCATTATCTGGGCGACATATCCATCTTGCACCATTACTTCTAAATATACGAAAAAGCGAAACCTTTGAAGAAGAAGTTTTTTTCGTGGCTTTTCGTGTTTACAAACTTGCTTCAACCAAACTCTGCCCTTGGTGATACTTCTACTTAAAGATGTCGAACCTTGTGTTGCAGAAGGTTGTAAGTCATTTTTAAAAATCCTTTTTATGTATTCAATTGCTTCGTAGTTTTTCGGTGTTTACATTATATCGCAACAGAGCAAAATTTACCTCAATTATTACCGAACAAATGTTAAACTTAAAAAATTTCTTTAACTTTGTCCCGGGATGTTTGCCGAAAATAAAAACATCACAATAAAATGAGATAATTGTCATAGTTAAATCAAAAAAATATAAATGGTTGCTTTACTTTTGTTCCATACTTTATAATAGATGCCAATTTTTTTAAATGAAATAAAATTCTTTATTTGAATTTTAATGAGCACTTAAAGCGTACTTATTGTTCTATTTACCTGTGGTAATATTAAAAAAACTAACGTCATCGACGACCTCGACGCGTACGCGCGTCATATGTGAGCCTAATTTGTTCATTTATTCAAAGGTGACGTCACCCGCCGTCCAATGTCATTTTAGATTTTGTGAACTGGGATTTGTTGAGTTTTTCCAGTGTTTCGCGCAGTGGTTAACACCTCCCATAAACCTTTGACAGTTCACTTATACACACAGTCTAGTCAGCAAAAAAAAAAGATGGTATCGTTTGGGTACTCGCAACTTTTTAATTTTTTCACGTGCCACCTAGTATCGGGTGTTCATTTTCGATATAGCTTTTTTTAGCTTGCGGTGTTTTTCTATTTTTATATCGCTCTGTGGTGTTTTTGTAGCGGCGGCCTCTCCGTTTTTTATTTGTAATGAAAATCTGCAGTAGTTCAAATGGCCTGTCGCTATAAAATCCGCACCGGCAGCGTTTAAGCGCCGGAAATTTGCGCTTAAATCTGTAAGTATTAAGTAAAAGAGTATTAAAATCTGGGTGATAGGTATTTCGTGCTTTTACTGTAAAATATAATTTTTAAAACGTACCATTTCGCATTTTAACGAACTTTTTTGGTTCTATTTTTACATACTTTCCGTAACAACGCCTAACATTCCATTTTTATCCTTATATTATATTACCTATTGTTGTAAATAAAACGTAAGTTTTGCGGAAAGAAAAAATTGTAAGTACTTAGAGTTTATTGTTGCTATATAATAATGAATACTGTATGAAATTAAGAGAAACAATAAAAATTTAAAAATTGTGTTAATTATTATTATAAGAGGACGCTCTCATAAACGGACGCGGTCACTAGATTATACCTCAATGTGATTAAAAATGTTCCATAGCCCCATTTGAAGAAAGTAGTCCCAAAAACTCAGAAGAAGAAAAGTAAAATTAGAAAAGCTCTAAATCATATTTCTGTTAGAGAACTTTGCTAGGGATGATTTCACTTCATTCGGCACTTAAATCTAGAGAGTTATTATGAGAATTATCTCCTCCAACGCAATATGGCAAAGTTTCGTCAGACAAACATTTTAGATTTTTTTAAAAACCTAGTGACTAAATAATGTTTTACAAATTTCCTTACTACTATTTGTACTTAGAGTCATATTAACATTTGGATAAAGTAATTACTTTAAAAATACCCTATTAACTTTTGTTTGCGCTATATGTATGTATGTACATATTTATATTTATTATAAGTCCTTAGTACTCTCCTTTAAATGGACACTTCCCATAAGCGGAAAAAATTAGTGGAACCGTGGGCGTCCGTTTGTGGAAGCTTTCACTCACCATAAAAAAGTTCTTGCAGTGTATCTCGATCTTTCCAGGGACTTTGACATATAGTTAAATAATAATTAATAATTAAAAATAAAATAAACCGATGTTGGAAATTTTGCCGGAAGTTATCTTTCGGAAAGAATACAAAAATTAATAACACATGGTTAAAAAAAACTATTTCCTATGGTGTTTCCCAAGGGATCCGTTTTAGGGTCAATATTATTCATTCCTTACGTAAATATTTTGTACCATGTAAACACGTCAGAGACCATTCTTGATTTTGCGGACGACCAAGTTTTCCCATACGAATATGATTCTTGGGATAATCTTAAAATCAAAGTGGAAAATCACTTATCAGTTAACTGGTTGTGAAATGTCACTTACGGTGAATGAAGACAAAAGCAGTTTTTATACCATTTTTGTGCAATAAATGGTGCATATACAAACATTTAACAATGAGCACCATTCAATAAAGTCGACAGAAAAAATAAAATTCTTGGGAATAACATTTGATACTCAATTAAAGTGGAATAAACATTTCGAACACCAGTAACCATCTAAGGTCACTGATTTACAAACTCAATTATTTTATAAACATTATATAAACCAAATGTATTATGCACTGTATTATGCATTAGTGCAGTTACGTTTACAATATGATATTTTGAGATGGGGAGGAGTACTGGATATTCATCTTAAAAAACATGGACATTATGCAAAAATATTTCCTAAAAATAGTTTTCCAAAAAACTAGAAATTACTCTTCTGTACAACTGTTTAGTGAGTCGTTTACGTTTTTTACGGTAAGGCAAGTATTATTTTTTATTTTTTAAAACAACGGTATTAAATATTTTCAAAAACTGATTCTTATAATACAAGAAATAGAGAAAATGGAAATGTAATAACAAATAAGTGTAAAAAACAAATAGGCCAAAGATTTTACACATTTTTGCAGGCCTATCTTTATAATTTTCTAAATGAGCTTCATAATTTTAATATCATTAAAATTTTTTAAAAAACAACTTAAATATGAGAAAAATGTATATACAAAAATAAATATATAAATAAATAAAACAGGAGAATGTTGAAAATAAAAAGACTAAGAACTACACGTACGATGTGCTTGTTTTCAATATCAAATTGCAGTAACATTTGTGTTTATAATTTGTTTGTAATGTAGGTTACACTTTTTATTTCTTATAAATTATGTAGCAATCCCTTTAAACATTTGTAAACGTCACTTTATGCAATATATGGCAGGGCAAATTTTAGGGAGAATTTTCATTTGTTCATTTTGTGGATGTTCAAAGTGTCCTGTATCACTTTTAAGTTAACGTTGTCGTTGTCTACAGAATAAGCATATTATTATTATAAAGCTCGTTGGCATTACTGCAGCCACAAAAGAAATCACTCGGCCCAAAGTTTTTGCTGGTAAAACTGTGTGCATCTAAATAACTTCATATTTTACGTCAGGACTAGTGCTAGAATGTCATTCTACCCTCGATGACACGACAGTCGACAATGTGGTCATCCTTAAATGGATTATAAGACTGTCTGGCCGGGAGGAGGACCGAAACCTTCCGTCGGTCTGGCGACGTCAGTCATCAAAGGACTGAGAAAGAAAAACTGCCGGAGACAGGTTCTAAAACTATCTTGGCTAGCTAGGAAGCTATCGAGCTATCACAACGAAACAGCAGCTAAACAATGTCAGGAAAAATACGCATGGTCATGGGTAGAAACTGATTAGTAAAGATCCTTATTAGTTGGATTATAGGACATGCGTATTCTAGAAGAGATCATGCCGCCGACCTCATCAGGTCAGGAGGAGAACCGAAACCTGCTGGTCTGGCGACGTTAGTCATCAAAGGGTTAGAAAAATAAGAAGTGCCGATTGCGCAGATTGCTAAAACACATGTTTCTCTTGTTGTGTTTAAGGCCTTTAGAAACTCCATTAAGCATAACATCGGCATAGCTAATTCTAATTATTCTATATTCAGTGAAGGACTCTTTGCTTTGTTGAGTTCTTTGCCGAGTTCTTCTCGAGCGTATATCCTCCCCCCTCTGCTAGGAATACAATTATTCACCATAGCAACTCTTAAATTTACTGCCATCAATGGTGTCCTTCAGGCTAGCCATCTAGCGCCACTTTTTTTCCTAACTTTTATGAATGATGTATTCTTTACTATTTACAAATCTTCTGGATTCCTCCTGCGTCGGTTATGGATAGATAGAGGTTGTACAGCACGGGGGCCCCTTCGCGCAGTTTTCAAGTTTGAGGTTATATCTGATTCTTGCTCTGGAACCGGCACTACATTACTACTTAGTGGTAATTTTAAAAGGCCGCGTTATCTGTCGGCGGTAAGAGAGGAGCAAGAAAACTGCCACCAGAGTAAAAAACATTTAATACAATTGTATTATAAGAAAATATATGCATCGGTTTTATTACAACGGCAGATTACGCGCTAAAAACAATTCTCGTAAAACTAGAAAACCATCTTCTTTAAATATTAATATACTCAACAGTAACATCGACTTGAACAAGCATTTGTCGCGCGCGACGGTACGGTATAAAAAATTTGACACACTGAAGGGGATTCCCAAGTCTGAGTACGAGTTTGGGCCACTTAAGGCCCGCGGTTAGATACACAAATGGAGCTGTCCGTGGCACCCGTATTACGACGCGCGGGTGTCGAGGCTCGGCCGCAGGGCTAAACAGCCCTCCACCCAAAAGTTTGGTCTTTCCAGCATACTCTTCCAGAGGCTCAGCTCTTTGCCGGTAGCGTCCATCCACTCCACGGACTTGCCGTAGTGTTTGCCTGTAAGAAACGGCGTATCAAAGGACCGATAATTTTTAAATTTATTTACAAATCTTCTGGATTCCTTTTTAGAACTTAGAGCTGAACCGAAACTAATTTGCAGTCTGCTCTGTACAGATTGTTTCACAAGAAAGTGATACGACTCTAATGCACTTTTTCCAAAGTTTTGAGTAGTGTATTATAGGCCGCCATGTTATCATGGAAACTTCATTATTTTCATATTTCTAGTACTGTCACTGTCAAATAAAACAAAATTGTCAGCGTTGTCACAAATACCTTAGAAAATGACAATGGAAATATATGGCGGATAATGGTGAAACAGTTTTATCGAAGAAATTTTATGCCTCAAAGTATACATGAAGTATGGCAAGAGTTCTCGCTTGAAGAAGATTTAATAATTCCTTTCATGACCATGAGCCTAATACTTCAAGCTGTGATGTGAATGGAGATTGTACAATATATTAAATTCCTTCAATGTGTTTCTTTTTTGTCCTGTTTGCCCCTGTCTCTGCCGATCAACCATCTTCTAAATTTGTTACATTTCTTCAATTTATCTAAACCTAATTATTTTAAATTTGTTTATTTAAAAGTTAAAAATTATTTGTTGAATATTGCTATTTAGTTTAGACGTTTTTTAATGACAAAACTTACGAGAACAACAACGATAAACAATAAAACTGAACAAAGTTGCATGCTCTAATAGCTATATAGGTAACTATAGTATACATTTTTGCTAAGAGGATTTCTCGTATCTCGTGTTAAAAGTAATTGCCAAGGCTAATTAACGCAAAAGCTTTTAGTAACAAAAATAGATTCAATAATATATTTTTTCTACTCCCGTCTGTAAAATACCTAATTACCCACCGATCTAGCGTGCGGTAAGCGTCACTTTACCACGTCAGTTTCGTTTCCCATGAATCCCAGCCACTTCGGACATTTCCGGGATTTTGCCGCACGGATTTGACGTTTGTCAATTCTGACGTTCATGCCAGTGAATGCATTCGCGTTGTTTTGCGAAAATGTACCCAAAAACTAATGGTCGTAGAAAAAGTATAGTAAGCAACACGTTCGGTAAACCTTTTAAGTCACTCGTTTATTTGACACGAGCGGAGCGGAGTCAAATGTCGTTTGCCGCACTTGTTGCATAATATACTATTTGAAGTTATTCATTGAAATAATACATTTTCAGATTGTTTATTATCTATTTCAGAAAAAAAAAACTTCTTTATTCAAGAAATATCAACAAATGCATTAATACAAAAGGAATTCAGTTCTACTATATGAAATATTATACCTTAGGACAGTATTAATAGAAAACTATACATTTTTTAGATTTAGTTATACAAATCGACTTTTAGTCAGCAAATAGCCCTCGATGTTCTTTGACAACTTGCAGCAAGTAATGACACTGTTTTTCAGATTATATTCAGAGACCAACGCTACTCCACGCTCTGCTGCGTCATTTACAGCTTTCATTGAACAAATTCAATGATTTTTGAGAAACGAAGTCAGTCAAATCATTTTGAATAATTGAATTGAAGTTCTTTATACGTCTCGACTACCTTCTTTTTTATATGGAGTGGAACAGTATCATGAAACAGTGATAAATTATCAATAAAATTGCAAAACTTATGGGGATAATCTTCTCAATTAATATCAACAGTTCATACGCGGTAAGTACTTTCTAGAGGTAACTAGCAACTAGTTTTTGTGTGTCAGATCCAAAAAAATATAGTTTTTTTTATTTATCCTAGTCTTAATCTTCCAGACATCCAAAACAAGTTTCATATCCCTCCTTTAGCCCCCCTTAAATAATATATAAGCAGGTACAGAGTAGAATATGAACCAGTTTTAGTTAAGCTCTGAAGGAGCCAATAAAATGATTGGCGAAACGTCAGCAGAAGTTTTGTTAGTATTGCAGCGGCACTGTTCTAATACTAATTTAAACATACATCTATATTGTCACCACTAATATCCGTCATTTTTTTTTAAATGATATGAAAATATCGAAAAATATCATTGCAAAAAGTATTTTTTTTCAGTTTTCTACAAATGTGTCAATTTTCATAAAAAAACTTGTTTCTCGTCAGGTTTTTCCATTCTAATTTTTTTTGCTACATTGTAATTTAAAGAATTAGTAATAGTTTAATAAAGCATTTCCCATTAACGAAACTTTAGCTAAATCGATTCAGCAGGATGCAGGAGGAGTCCATTACAGTAATTTGAAGTAGTTTCTTTACAAAAAATTGTTGATTGTTTTCCCAAATTACCTGTTCCGAGGGAAAATCTCACCCCGCCGAGGAACTCGTTGCTGGCCAGGCGGTCGTGGTCCCACACCGTCAGCTCGAGACACCTCTCTGCCAATTCCTGCAGGGTTACGTCGTCGTAGACGAATGTGTGATTCCATACGGGGTTGATGGTCCTTTTCGCCACGGGCGTCTTTTGTTTGGAGCTCCTACCCTTGTCGGGCAAAAGGTAACTGGAATGGATTTGGTTAGAACGTGGTCTCATCTCTGAGCGAATGGTTGTTTTACCTTTTACAAAATGGATCTGAGGTGCCGTTAGCCTTAATGGCCGTCAGCCCTTTGGCTTCCTTGACGAGCACGTGCAACGCTCCTCTGGACCTTTTGCCTTTCTTCGGGGCGGTCATGTCCGGTGGTACGAATTTGAGACACACTATGACGTCACCCTTGAAGGACAGCATGTCGTCGAACGGTTCCGTCTGTAAACAGATACGGTTTGAATGGAGCTGGTCCACCATATACCTAAGACTTAGCAGCTGTAATGGTCATTGTATTTTTTGTAGATTTGAGAGAGACATTCGACGTCGCCAGTATTCCTGTACTATAGATCATATCATAGCTATTTCATGTATATCTTGTTGCAAGGCAAAGAAAGAATTAATGAATTAAAGAGTAACATCTTAAGCACCGAATCTGGACTTTCACAGGGGTGCGTGTTTGGACTACCGTTGAACTCTCCTTTTGTTCTAAATCATTTAAATTTTCTGTCCCATTATTCCTCATTTGCTCGTGATACCGTGATGGTATATGCTGGGGCAACTGAAAAATCCTCTCTCAGGAAGTTACGGCTGATGTTGAGACCTCTCGTCTTAAATGCCACAAAATGGACAAAAATAAAGGCAAATAAAATTTAAACTGTTTAGTAAAACGATTTTGTTTAGTAGTGGACACGAACGTGTAAATCGTATTTCAGGGAAAGCAACACCTCTGATACTTATATATTATAAAATATATTATTATAAATTATACCACTTTATATGGCTTTTTCGCTAGCTGTCAAAATATCAATTGTACAAAATAATATAAAATCAAATTCTAAAGTTTTTTTACAATTATCATTAACTTACTCATTAGACACTCGAGTTATACTTGCGTTATACCACACGATAGCAGAAAATGATACATTAAATTTTGTATATACCGGATTCGTAAAAAGTACAAGAAGGCTTAAATATTTCCAAAACAGCTAAACCTGGAACGATAAAATTCAATAACCGATCAATTCAATTACCGCTTTTACGTAACACGTCATAATTTTGGGATCTTAAATGGAATGCCCTATTAATTTTTGTTGCAATGAATTGTGCATGTCGAATTTAGTACGGTCTCATAATTACAAGCACTGCTTTTTCAGTGAAAAGTTCTCGAACTCTTAAATAACTCCAAAATTGCCAAAGCTGAAATAATAAAATTTAAGTTTTGAACAAATTCAAGTTTTGAACATGCAGAATTCAAACAACAATGTGTTTATATTTTGCGATGATGTTTATAATTCTGATAACCTTTCATTCATACACTTATAAATTCATTACAATAAAAATAAATAGGACAATTTTTTAAAGAAACTCCCACAAGCTACTAGTACCATTTGGAAATCTGGATTCCTTCTGCGTGGGTTGCTCTGAAGAAGTCGACAGAATGATTGGCGAAACGTCAGCAAGTTTGAGTTATAAACAATGAACGCAGGAAGGATCCAGAACATTTGTAAATAATAAATATGGCATTCCATGTAAAATAACAAAATAATGACGTGCCACGTAAAAGCGGTAAATCTGACAACACTGCTGTTTGAATGTGTTTAATTAATTTACTAACAACGGGCATACCACTCGGTTGCAACCAAAATGCGACACAAAATCAGAAAAACTTGATTTTTTTTAAGTTTTCCCAACCTAACTTTTTTTGTTACATTCTAATTTAAAGAAATAGGAATCAAACTACTTGGATAGTCTAGACGGAATAGTTTAATAAAGTATTTTGCTTTAAATTTATCTTAGACACTGGCATCGAAATTGTCGAAGTGGAACAAATTCAATGAGGTAACTGATTTACAATAAAAAAATTAATTAAGTCACCTCTTTAAATTATAATAAAATTAACTAAACTATATTGGGTTTCAAAATGTTATATCCATATTAATGGTGCTTTCGTACGCAGGTGCGTCACGAATGTTCATTTTGCCTTGTTCAATTCATAACCTCAAAATCGATTGTGTACAACTGAAAAAGAATTATGGAATTATTTTCTATTTGCTGTAAAAGAGGTCGAAAATTTTTAATTAACTCACTTTACTTTTAATGCTAATCCGCGGTAATTTTGCATCAACATTGCCGATTTGATTAGATGTATTTGAAGAAATTTTTTGAAATCGAGTGTTTAAGATAAATTGATAGTTGATATTTTTTGTCCGGTCTCTCCAATGTATTCTTTGCCGCATATGCATGGACTACTGTAAAATCCTGGTATCTCAAACGAAATTTTGTCTTTGATGGATCGAAGATGTTGAGAGATTTTTGGACAAGTGGTAAATTTGGTTATAACGTTATATTTTTTAAGAACTTTTGATATGTGATGTTTTGAATTTAAAGAAGGTCAAGAGTGTCAAGTGTCGGGTTGCTTTCGGATTCATTGTTTTTGGAAGATTGTGGTGAACTGTATTTTGTAATGGAGCGCTTCATATCTCTAATGTCAAAATTATCAGAGAGAATAGCAGATGTAAGGTGTTTTTAAGTCTGGGTTCAGTGACTCAGATTGAGATAGTTTTACGGCTCTGGAAACAAGAGAGTTGATATTCGATGATTTTTGGGCCGGATGATGATGTGACCATGCACTAAGAGGGTGACTAAGATTCATAAACCAGAAACTACCAGTTCAACGTATTGTCAACACCATTGCCAGGCGAATCGTGTGTTATTGTAAATACTGAAAGCAGTGTTAAATAACGCTTCATCTGAATATGTTTGCTCTGAAAATCCTTCACTAGATGATAATGAACTATTATCAAAAATTTAGATAGCGTTAAATGAAGAAATAGTCAGTTACCAAAGAAAAGAATGTGTAGTGGGACAAAACATAACTGCAGAAAAAAAAATGATAAAAATATCTTAGGAAACCATTTTAAGTATGTAAAATAATGTTTACCAAATAAGTACCGCACATGGACTGTTAAACTGGTGGTTTCCGAGAGATAAAATAATTAATTGCCAAAGTAATGAAGTAATTAATATTCTAGAGGACAAAGTAATTTCCCCCACGGAAGCATTAAGATTATTTTCAAAATTCGAAGAACAGAAGCTTATTATAACACAAATTATAATTTTCGTAGATAGTTTTTCATTACGCCTAGTCACTTTCAAAATATGTTTTCAATGTAAGAAAGGACAGCGAGTTGCAAGTGCTTGCTTACGGACTCATTGTGTTCGGAAGGTTGTGATGAAGTGTATTTTGTGATGGAACGCTTAATATCTTTAATGTGGATATTATTAGAGAGAAGAGCAGATGTAAGATGTGTTTTAATTTTGGGTTTAGTGACACGGGTTGAAATAGTTTAACGGCTGTGGAAAAAAAAAGTTGATATACAGTAAGGTATTGGTCTGTGTGCGTATTTTTTCTGTACACAGAATGACCCAAAATGACTTTAAAAACGTAACCATAATAATCGACTGAGGAATTTGAATATCAATATGTCTCACCCTCTCTTGAAGATTGTACCACCTGGGCGTCGGATCATCGAAAACTTTGTTCTCCAAAGTCATCATGACTTCGCCGAGAAAATCGTTACGGCCGAACATGTCCGAATGCCAAACGGTCAACCACAGGGTCCTTATCTCCAGTTCGTTTAGGGACATGTGGAATTTGAGGCACTCGTCGAACACCGGGTTGAGGGTGTGCTTTTTCACTTTCGTCTTCCTCTTGCCGCCCTTCGATTTGTCGGGCAAAAGGTACACCTGAAGCAATGGAAAACCCTTTTTTAACAACCCAACCAAAGTCCTTCGCCAACCACTCACCTTCACGTATGGGTCGGACCTGTTTCGTTTGATGTCGACCGGTGCCAGGTCCTTGCATTGCTTTATTTGTATCTCCAGGGCTCCGGCTTTGTAGTTGTATTGCAGACCAAACTCCACTTGACCTCGTACGGTTACCGCACCGTAGCGGCCCTCTCCAGCTCCAGAGTACACGCTCGCCATCGAGTCCGATCGCAGCTAAAAGAATAAAAAATCAGTGGTGGTGGTGGTACACTATCTCTAAAATCAGTTTCGTTCCAGGTAATAGTAAGACGTGGTCTCCTGTAAGCCTTTTAAAACTGAGTAACTCGCGGAAACTCTTCGAACTTGCTTGATTTTTACCACACAAAGGGCTATTGTGCTTTTGAAAAGTGTCTGTCGCCTATTTGCATAAAATGTAGCGATGATCGCTAAGAAGATTTACTGCCCTTAGAAAATGTTCAGTACAACCAGTACAAATGGCATAGAGGTACCTACTACTTCTACCTTCGAAGAAGAATAGGGTCGTTTTCAGTGACAAGACACTTTTTTGTTCGTGGGACGTAACAAAGGCACCCGAATATATGGAAAAAGGCACCAACTTCCATTTTGCATGGAGCGTTAGACCGCACTTACTAGGAGCAGTATGGTTTGCATTGCCATAACAGTAGAAACAGGTCATCTCTAGTTTTTTTTGGTTAGTTTACTACAGGCAACTGCAAGATCTAATTTTTCAACAAGACAATTCCAGGTTACACTACTAGAAATTTTCCAATACGAGCCAATAACCCGAAGAGTCAGGATTTAGCCAGGACTTAGTTGTGAGGGTGCGCTTGCTGATGTAATGGGTGACCTGTAATAGGAAAACTTCCATAGTTTTGCTGCTAGATTTTAGTACGGTGTTGGATATTGTCAATCGTCGTGAACTTTTAGTCCCTATATTAAAATTTATTGAATGATAGTGCTCAAAGCCTGCTAAAATCATTCTGGTCTGATCGAACTCAGCAAGTGTCATCGTCTATATCATCTATATGCGGTCGACACCAATTTTGTAAAGGTTTCTCGATGATAGTAGCAATTAACAAATTAATGAATGTATTAATTCATAATTGTTCCAACTATCACAAAAGTAATCCTGCAAAGTCGTATGATGTAATTTTTGGAAATGATATTCAGGACGAAACGGTAATAAAAGTTGATGGACTTTTATTTAATTGTGTTCGAAGTGTTTTCGGAGCGCGAGCATTGAAGATGCCAAGTGAGATTTTGGCGAAACGTCTGCTGGATTCCAGTCGGATGCAGGATTTGCAGGATTCCAGTCGGATGCAGGATTCCAGTCGGAGTTCAACGAGCGAACGGATGATATCCCGGAATATAGTGTCATCATATATATATATATATATATATATATATATATATATATATATATATATATATATATATATATATATATATATATATATATATATATATATATATATATATATATATATATATATATATATATATATATATATATATATATATATATATATATATATATATATATATATATATATATATATATATATATATATATATATATATATATATATATTATATATTACCAAATCTATTTTAATTTGGGTGCCTCAATTTCTAAATCAGAAAAATAATCAGGAGGAATAATGATACCTTACCAAGGGTAGAAATAACCAAGAAACAAAGAAGCTAGAAGTACCAAAGAAGAGATGTTTTGTTACGAACATTAGAACATATCATCTTGCAATAAATTGACTCCCCATTGAATATGGTAAAATCATTTATTTTATATTTAGTAATTGCAAAAGTTGTTTGGTAGGAAAACATTATTTAGAAAACTCTTTTCTTGTGTTTAGGAATAGTTAACAAATGTTGTTGACGAATATTAATGTTATGAAAGTTCGTACGAAATGTTAGTTTTTCATGAAGATACCCTGAATGGCAGATTTCGGCAGTAAACAATAGAAAGTCATCCCATAACAGCACAACAATTTTGAACTTCTGAAAAGCAGCAGGTGAGGCATTTCTCTTCAGAAAACAATTAGAAGGCAACAAAACTGAATTGACCGCTCCACCACCAGCCTCAACTTCACTTCAAGCGTTTATATACCGGATAAGTACAAAACAATTAATTCATTATTTAGAAGACGAGAAGATTTTTATTATGCGGATGAAGTCAAAATTTACAATATTTGGAGCAGGTTGAAATCTGCTCCAAAGTTATTTTCTTAATTGTATGTAATATAAGCAGAAGCATATCGAGCAGTCATTCTAATTTTACATGCTCTTTTGCCTAACAAAAGGACACATCTAAGAACTTAACTAGAATGATCACAGATATGAAATCAGGGGTAAATCCCAGAATAATTTTGTTATATTTCGAAATTCAAATATTTAGTGCCTTTCAAGAAGATTTCATCGAAACCACAATTTGTGGGCGTTTCTTTCACTTTTCACAAAATCTACAAAAACAAATTTTAAGCGAGGTTGTTGATTTGTTATCTGATGAGCTGTTCGGTGCAGTTCAGGAAATATTAAAATTCGTTTGGGGATAACTACAAGAAATAATAATTAGTAGGGATAACCAGACCCAGGAACTTGCTAGTGGAGTAGTGTGGGGCTGGATCATGGGAAGTTGAAGGAAGTTTTTAAGCCTAGAAGGTAGGGTCTACAATCAGTATGTATTACCGGTTATAGAGCAGAAACACTCACTTTGACTAAAAATGTCGTATCCAAACTCATCGTATAATAAATACAGAACAAAAGTCGAGGAAATAATAGGTCGAGTCACCACCCTTAAGTGGAAATGGAAGTACATGTTGCGATTCTCAGGGATGATAGGTGGACCATCAGACTGGTAAATTGGAGACCCCAGGTCGGTAAAAGAAGCAAAGGGAGGCGTCCAAGGTGTAGGAGAGATTACATTGAAAGAATAGCGGGACACTGAACCCGAGCTGCTCAAGACCGATCAAAATGGAAAAGGTCTGGGGAAGGCTTGAGTTCAGCAGTGAACTCAACATGATGTCATTGGCAGACCTGCAAGAAGAGGCAACGTAAGACGACCTCCATTTTAGACGAAACAAATAGTCATGCCGAGGCTACCAATAGAAGACTACAAAATGAGTTAGGAATAAAAAATACAAACTATAAGAAACTTTATTCAAAGATGACGGTATGTGTTTTTGTAACAAACTTTTGCAGGACATGAACCTTGAATGATCATATCGACAAATTTATTTTTTTTTTATATCTAGTATTGAAGTTGTTAATGATTGATTTAACGAAGATGCGCGTCACAAACTTTTAGAAGTTTAAGTCAGAATTTAATATTATAAGAATTAACCTGAAGGATGTATGAATCTGGGTATCGCCAGGTTATAAATAATATTTATAATATTACAGACAATTCCCGAAATTAAAACTGTATACGTTATGAAAAAGGGGTCGAGAATACTACCCTGAGGACCTTCCGTTGCCCTCTGATATCTGTAGATCAACAATGAGGATACTAGAGAAGGATTGATATTTAGGTATATTTAGGTATCCACAATCATGGTATCAATCGAAACTGTCACACAAATGTCACCTGTTCAGAATCCGAACTGCTTATAGATAATGTGAGTGTTAAAAATGACGGAATTTGCGACTGCAATTACTTTTTTTGAGAATAAGTCATAAACTGAATTATTAAAAGACAACAAATAGTAATTAGAGTAATATATGACTGTTCCAAAAGCTCCAGTCTTAATATTTAGAATAATTTTCGAAACAGCTTCCTCTGATATTAGTTAATGAAAGAATTATTGTTATATAAATATAGTAGTATAAGTAGAAAACAAAAAGCCGTTGTTGAAGAAGTCGACTTACCCCGAGACTAGATAAACTGCTTCTGTTGTGGTGCAGGGCGACAAGCCTGTCGATATCGTCCTCATGGGTCGGCCACTCCTGGCTAGAGATCGAGCTGGTTTTTCGACGAGCACTAGGAGCCACAGGGCTGGGGGTAGCGCTCTTGCTCCCTCTGGTGGCCAGCATCGGCGACGAATGGGCTTCCGATAACAAGCTGACGTCGTCTGGAAAAGAAGGTGGAATAGTTATTACAAGTAGACACAAGAAAACATAGAGCGAACATAGAAGAAGAACTAGTTCTACCGCTACCGCTATGTTTTTAGGCTATCAATGCTACCCTGGGCGTTTGGCGCCATCACTATAAATAACATTTATTTTCTTAAAAAAATATAATGCAACAAAAGATAATCAAATAATGATTGTGCATTTTGATATCTTTTTCCTAACCTATAATATCAGTAAAAGAAATAAAAACTCGATATAATGTCGCAACTTTGAGAATATTTTCAGTATACGTGCTAGTATTAAATCCATGTTTTTGTTTTTTAGGAAAATTAGTTCTTCAAAACTTCAAATAATGGATAATGCAATTAATACCACTTGCGGGTTCTAGATTTGATTGAATACGGTAATTTGTGTTTAGTGTTGATTTTCCTTCCATAAGATGCATTTTGTTACTTCTTCATAATAACAACTTTTGGAAGTTGATTTCGGTCTGACATTTGATACTGTATAATTTAGGCCTCGTAAATTTCGATCTGACAAGCATTTTTTTCACGTAACGTGTTTTATCAACATTAAAGAAATTAATAAATGAAAATTTATTTTAATTTAAACATTATTTTTATTAGTACAACAAGAAAAACTCTCAAAGTCTCAAACAATAGTTATAAGTTATTAATCTCTCTATCGTTCTCTTGGAAAAATTTTAGTTTAAAGAATTTTCTTGTATATTCTATGGCCAGATTGTCCATTTTTAATGGACACCAGTAATCTACCATCATTGCAATGCACCATCGATCTTGATGTCTGCGTTGCTGGCACCTCTCACTAAATACCAAGATTTTCGGGAAACTACTCCAGATGTGAGTGTAAAAAGTGTAGTTTTATACTCATATTGTATGCTATTTTCCTAAATTTCAACATGTTTTCTACAATGTCTTTGTAATTCGGATATTTGTCCTTTCCTATAAAACCATTTGTAAGAATAATTTTTCATCCGGAAGTTAAGTTAACCATTTTTGGCCAGTTCATTTTCACCCAATGCTGTTGTTTGTCTCTACTGTCCCACTCACACATAAAACAGGGTTACTTCGTGTATCTTGGCTGCCGATCCAATAGAAGCCCCACAATTTTTAACTCACCACAAATCGTCGAACTTGTATTTGATTTTCTTAAGCAGTAGTTCCAGATTTTCGTAGCATTTTTTCATTTACATAGAATGAGCAACAGGTGCAGAAGCAAAACATTTCCGAGAATCGCAAAGCTATTAAATTCTGATTGCAACAATAACTGTGGCTGCTGAGAAACACGCCATGTATCATCAACATCTCGGGGGGCATCTTCATCTATTTCAGATGCAGAAAAACTAATCGTATCTTTTTCTAAACAGGCTGGATTCTCAGCTATTGCTACCTCTGCGCTATGCGGCACTTGTCTAACTGCAGGCTTCACAGGAACATTGAACATGCAGGAATAACAGTAATGCTGATTTCCCTCTCTCCATATCACAGGTATTCCAAAAGGTCGGAATCGCTTGGTTCCACTATTCCAATGTTTTAAAGTTTCACATACCTTACCAATGAGACGTAAACCAAAGGTCAACAGATATCATTCGGGATATTTACAGCGGAAATAGCACTTATGTAAATCAGTTCAATACTCTTCAACAAGTCAAAACTGCAGGCAGAGGATACAGAATGGGAAAACATGAGTTTAAGATAATTTGCTACGCTGATGATGCGGTTGTGATATCGGAAGATGAGGATAATCTGCAAAAACTACTACACAGATTCGAAACACAGGAAAATTGAATATGATCATATCGACATAGAAGACACAATCCTTGACAATAACGAGACAACCCAGAAGATGCAAACTGGCAATTTATAATAGGAACCTAAAACAAGAAGTAAAACTGCAAACAATAGTAGCATCTAGGATATCGGGATTCCTTCGAACCGTAATACGGAGGAATAAATACTTAAGTATCGAAAGCAAAACACGGACATATAAAACTTATGTTAGACCAATTATGACATAAGCCATAGAAACGAGGGCGGAGACTGCAGCTACTAAACAGATTCTTAGAACGACCGAAATGAAGACATTACGCTCAATCACAGGGAAAACGCTAAGAGACAGAATAAGGAGCAATGAAATTAGAAGAATGTATGACGTTCCGGATATAGTGAGATGGGACAGAACTAGAAGAAGAGCATGGAGAGATCATTTCAATAGAATGGAAGACGATCGACTGGCGAAAATCGCAAAAGAAGAGAGACCCAATACAAGCAGACCTCCCTGAAGACTACCAAAGCGCTGGTATGAGAGCTGGACCTCGGAGTCACAACTTAGGCTGCTTCCTTGAAAACACAAGACATAGTCTTAAAATAAGAAGAAGAAGAAGTTTTTTTACTGTATGATTACTAATGTCAAATGACAAGAAGTCTTATTATTAGGCCCTTTAGGCGCATAGGCACATTTGCTAGAGTTATAAATTTTCAAAAAAATGCTCTACCTAGGGTACAAAGCAATTTGTACAAATTTAAGCAATTGATCTCAATATTCAGATCCACATTCAGGACCAATGGATATTACGCGTGCTATTTTATATTTATTTTATTTTATGATTTATTATTTACATGTTTCAATAAGATCGATTTTTAAAAAATTTGCTTTAATTTGTTGCATTTGTTGCAGAAACAACCTTGTCCTCCTTCAGGTTAATTTAATGTAAAATCCATTTTTATAAACTTCTGTCAAAAATTATAGCTCCACTTACATTTTTTGAGTTATTTGTATTATTTAAAAAGATAGTAGTTGTTTTCGGTAGTTTTGCATTTCAGTTTGTTTGTTTGAGTGTTGCTTATTATTTTGGGAAAACTGTCCAATTGATGAACTGTCGTGGCTTATATGTTTGTTGTTGAACGTCTCAAGGTTACTGCTTGACAGCGAGATTGGAAATGACTCAGCATATTGACGAAATTTGACTGTGCAGTAAGACTAGTGAATTGGATTAGAAAGGGCTACAAGTAAAATTGGGGTAACATGTATTACGAAACAGAAATTGTGCTAATAGAGAGCTTCTTAGTGACCAACTCAAAACTGCAACAAAAGTCAACGATTCGCCTGCTATTTACTGCAGGTCACAGATCACGCAGATTAAAATTCGATCGCCGTGATTGATACGATATCTCTCCAAGGGAGTCTTTTGGTGGTGGTTTAAAATGTTCTGGGAGAAGTTGAGCTGGTTCCTATTCATCTTAGAATTGTTTCGAAAACATCATTCAAGATCACGAATACCGTTTGCCCTATTTATACGAGACACCTTCATTTTCATGCAAGGTGACGCAAGGTCCCATATTTCAAGTACTATTTTGGGTTACTTTTGGGATATTCTCAAAAAATTAGCTCGCAAGAGTTACGGCGCCTTGTTCTCTTGAAACAGAAAAACGTTTCTCTGTAAAGTGCGGAAAAAATTGCCGCTTTGATGTGCACGTCACTGGCACGGTCAGAAATCGAAACGGATAGCGTCGTGGTGGGTGGATCGACATTTAATACCCACCGCCTTGGCCGGTCTTGCTTCGCAACAAATTAAATTTCCACTCCAACGACAACTGTGTTGACTTCATCGGTGGGCTTCGCGATGATATCGTAGGTGCGTCAAAACTATTGGATATTATGTTTCCGATATCAATTCAATAGCATGCAGATGGGACTTTTTATTTGCTAATGCCGGCATCGCGCGATAAGGTTGACCGAGAAAAAATCACGCGGCATTGACATTTTGAAACATCAAAATGCAGTGACTAACGCTCGCCCATAATTAATATTTCATTGACCAATAGGTGTGCGTTTGTTTCGAGTAGATACGGTTGTCCTTTGTTTCCGTTGTGTTTAATTTTATCTGTGACTTTATTTTATTACCAGCAGCAACGTGGAATATGTTGTACGGACATTGGTTTCTAATAAGTTATTCAAAACTTATACTTTTGCTTGAAGGTGGTAGACAATGATTTAATAGAAATAATTCGAACTTCCATTGTGTTTCGAATGGAATTTCGAGAAATTCTTATTATTTCGAATTTAAAATCTTCATAGGAGTCACTAAATATTGTTGCAGATCCTCTAAATCGATAAACATATCCGAATTTGGGAGTTACTGGCCCTGAAGTATGCGAATTTAACGAAACAGTTTCACATAATATAAGCATCTCCAACGATCATTCTTGAAATTCAGTAAAATGGCTAAAGTCTGCTCAAAAGCGTAGAGGAAGACAGAGCAGAAATTCAAAATCTTCCCGAGTAAAAACTCGAAATTAAAGCAAAGCATTTCGGCTCGTTAATTTTTATAAAAAATAAAACGAGAAGGCATACAGGAAATACATCGAAATAATATGAACAACTGTCAACTTACAAAATCTTTGACAAATTAAAATCCCTTGGCATCTACATCTAGACTTGAAGCTTTATGATGGGTAAACTATGTAATAATTTTCAAATTTAAAACAACTTTATACCGCACTATAATGTTGTCAGGTGAAGCATTAAAACACATTCGCAGAAAATACCAAGGAATACATTACAAAAAAAACCGTTTCCTAGGGATTTGTTGGCTCGAGAAACAAGGACGGTTGATACTAGACAGTTTTTTACTGAAACCCTGTTATCTATCAAGAAAGTTCAAAACTAAACTAAAAGATTGATTACTTCAGGAAGTCTCAAAATTTAAAAATTGCAACTATTGAATGATCTGACAGCTTTGGTATTATTGTTCTTTACCTATTACTTAATATGAGATCAATCATAATTTAGAATGATAAAAATATATGCGCACAATACTACTAACAAAGTGTGCTTTTTTGGTTACCATGGTTTATATGTACTTGCTAGTTTATTGTGTTTTGACTAACATAATATTACTTTTTAAAATTTATTTGTTATAATGTATATAGTATCCACATTGAAAATAATAATTCATGGAAAACGATATGTTTTCAAA